CTGATGCGAGATGAAAGTTTCCTGTGCTGGATTGATCCCCACCTGAGCCCGGAGATTTTGGAAGGCTGCCCCCCTTTTATCCTGATTAATTAGCTCCCCCGAGGCCTGGGCTAATCAAAGGGCACTGCTCATCAGCTGGTGGCTGTGGCAGGGTGGCATCAGAGGACGGTGCCAACATGTCAGGGAGCCGCTTGTGATGGCAGCAGTGATGTCCCCTGGCAGGAGCACGGGGATGGGAACATCGTCCTGGAATCCAGAGGGGTTCCCACAGCAGCAGGGAGGCTCTGTCATCACCCTGGCAGCTGAGGGGCAGCTCCTGCCTGGATCACCATCCTGGCTCCCAGGAGCTCCTTTGACCCTTTTATGCAGTCAGGAATGAAATTGCCTCTCCCCTGAGCTGTGGTGGCTTTCCAGGGATCCACAAAGGTTTGTGGCTTGGACAGAGAGTCCGAGCCAGCTGGCTGTGATTGGCCATTAATTAGAAACAACCACACGAGACCAATCCCAGATGCACCTGTTGCATTCCACAGCAGCAGATAACCATTGTTTGCATTTTGTTCCTGAGGCCTCCCAGCTTCTCAGGAGGGAAGATCCCAAGGAAAGGATTTTCCATAAAAGATGTCTGTGACAGGGCTGGATGCCAGAGGGACATCCCAAATGCTGGGCTGAGCCTGCACCCACAGCTGGGAGCCCAGGCAGGGTGAGGGATGGGACACCTGGGGTCTGTGCCAGCCAGGGGCACCTGCCCCCGTGCCCACCCTGTGCCCCAGAGTGTCACTGTCACCTGCTGGGGCAGAGGAGGAGCTGCCAGAGCCAGCAGCCCGAGATGAAATCCCATTTCCCCTCCTGGCCGAGGCTGAGCTGCTCCTGGGAGCTGGGATCTCTGCCTGGCACTTTGTTATTCCAACAAACCCCGCTCAGATGTTCCATATTGATGTGATGATTAACTGGAGCCGTGGTAAACCACAGGGAAGTGTTTGTGTGCAGGAGCCTGTGTGCCAGAACACGAGGCTGCTCCGAGCCCTGCCGGGATGCTGGGCCGGATGGATGCAGCAAACTCTGGCTTGAGGACAATTTTCCTGCTCCAGCAAGCCTCACCTCGGGATATTTGCTGTTTTTTCAGCCTTTCTGGCTTCCAGAGGAGGCTGTCCTTGCTTTCATCACCTCCCCTGGAGCCTGGCACGCTGCACGGAGGGTTTGGGGGAGCCAAGGAGATGGGAATGTGTGCAGGAGATCTCATCCCTCACCCAGAGTGATCCGGTCCCCGTGCTCCAGCACAGCTTGTGCCCCTCAGATGTTAATGAGGTTCTTAGAGCAGCAAAGCCAAGCCCAAGCAGAGGTTGCCTGGATCAGAGTTGAAGGGGCTCTCTGCGTGCATCTGCAGTGCTGTAATTAAATAATCCCCTCGTAGCCATGGCAACGTTGTCTCCCCGTCCTCTCCCACTCGCTGCTTCTCTGCCAGAACTTCCCGGCCTTGATTTGGTTCTGACAGCCCGGGGGGCTCTGGGAGCCCCTCAGAGTGGGCTGTGGGACAGCAGAGCCGCTCCTGCAGGAGCCCTGCCCCTGCCACAGCGCTGCCCCTGTGGCACAGGGATGGATGCTGGAGCCATCCCCACCTTGGGGAGCTCCACCCTCGGGATGCTCCTCTGTTGTTTGTGGTTAAACTCCCCCTTTTCCCTCTCCTCTGTGTCCTGGCTCTGCCCCATGGCTGCATTTCCTGCACCCCACTCACTCCTGGTCCTTCCGCACTCCCTGCGGTCTCCGCCAGGCAGGAGCAGCAGTTTCCAGGTAGGGATTTCCACAACCCAAGGCAGACCGAACCCACATGTCCTGCTCAGCAGAGCCCCAGCGTTCCCACCCCTCCACACTGGAATTTTCCTGGCAAAGGTGCCCAGCAGGGCGTTCCACCTGCAGCTCTGCTTGGAGGCACAGGAGGAAGAGGAGCAGTGGGAAGAGCCTGCCAGACTTTTTACAGCCTCTGGGAAAGTCTGACTTTATTTTCCCTGTCACCCTGACACATTAATGGCTCAGCTGAGGCGTCCTCCTTGCTCCTTCCCACACTTTTTCACGTCTCCTGCCCCGGCACAAAGCGGAGTTTTCTCATGAATAAAGGAAAGAATCAAATCTCATTGGAAAGTTCATCAACTTTGGGCTCCTGCTCAGTGAGTGATAGATGGCTTTAATTACACTGAACTAGTTGGCATCTCTACTCCACTCCCCAAAGTCATTAAAAATAGATTTTCTGTTTGAACTCCAGCCCCCCGAGGGGTCTGTGGGCAGCCTGCTGTGGCTGAGAGATGCTCCAGGGGCTGTCTCCAGCCAGGGGAGGTCACAGCACTGGGCTGGTAGCACGCAAAAGCTGTGGAAACTTTGCTTTGCCTGTTTATTTAATTCATTTATTTATTTTATTTATTTATTTGGAACTGCTTTCTTGCACTTATTTGCTCCAGTGGCTGGCGGAGCTGGAATCTGTGTGTTTTGGAGAGTCTGTATTGATTTTTTTCTTTTTGTAATTTATTTTATTTTGCTGGTGTTATGGGTCAGGCAGTCAGGGACAGTAATAACGAGGCTTTATCAATTAATGGTTGAGCAGCAGGTGCGTTTTGGCAGGGAGAGCAGGAGGAGAGGTCACAGTTGGGCTGGGGGGAGCAGGGCTGTGCCCTCAGCACTGAGGAGATCCCCCAGCAGTGCTGGATCCTTGGCTGCTGTCCTTCACACAGATGCTCCCCCAGAGACATTGTTCAAACCCTCTGCGTGGTTTTTAGAGAATTATCATGTGCAGCTTCCGAGCAGAAAAAGAAACGAAGCGCTCAACATCAAATCATCTCTAATGAACTCTTATTCACATAATTCCAGCCCTCCGTTATTTATAGAGCGCAGCGAGAGCATCCAGCTCCTCACAAACATGAAACAAGCCCTGAGCTGCATTTAAATCACGGGGACAGATCCTGCCAAGCCTCCCTTTGTGGGTGTGAGCGGGGATCTGCTGTGCTGGGGGAATTTGGGGCTGGGTCAGGGCTCAGCATGCTGGGCTGGCTTTAGGGGCAGCCCAGGGACCTTCCTGGGTGCATCCTGTGCCAGCTGGTGTCTCCCACAGGGAGATTTTGGTTTGAAAAACCCAAAACCTGGGTTTGCTGCTGGCTCTCCACCCAGGGGCAGCACGGTGGCTGCAGCACTGGTTTGCACTGGGAGGTGCTGGGTGGTCACTGGGGCGGGCAGTGTCTGTACCTGGATGGGCCGTGCTGGGGGGCTGTTCTGTCACCAGGCCCCTGGGCTTGCTCCCACCCCACTGTAAAGTGCTTCTTGCCCCTTACAAGGGAGAGGCAGAGCAGCAAACAGCACATCCCTTGTGGCCACCTGAGTGCAGACCCTGCGAGGGCACCCCAGGCCCCTCTGCGGCCAGGGCTCAAACCCCAGCCCCTCATTTCCACCTCGGAATTTCTCCTCTCTGCTCCTGAAGCTGTTCCCACCCATCAGGGGCTGCAGGCACTCCCAGCTCTGCCCTTCCCACCCCTCATTCCCAGGGTCCCATCCCGAGCCCTCCACCCTCCCCACGGGCTCCTCCTCGGCCAGAAAGCTCCAACCCCGAGCAATCTCTGTTTCGGGAAAAGCTGTTGAGTGGGGCTGAGGAAACAAGAAGAATAGCAGCCCTATTGGTGTCCAGCTCAGAGAGGAACTGGGTTCTCACTGTGTCAACAGCACTTGGCGTGACAGCGGCCGTTGTGCGGGCAGACACTGCTCCTTTCAGCGCGGCTGCTGGGAGCCGGGTGCTGTTGTGACGGACAGAGCCACAGCCATCCAGCGCTTGTTTGAATTCCCAGCCAGTTGCAGGCATCGCTCCTGGGGCGCAGGAGCTGTGTGAGGCTGGGGGAGGATTATCTGCGGCGTTTGCTGGGGGAAACGGGAGTAGAAGGGCAGGATCGCGGGATGGCCTGGGCTGGAAGGGAGCTCAGAAATCATCTGGGCAGCTCCCGCTATCCCAGGCTGTGCCAAGGTCTGTCCAGCCTGGATTTGAACAGGTCCATGGATAAGGGAGTCCACAGGCTCTTGAGTAACCTCTTCAGTGCCCCCCTACCTTACAGGAAGGGATTTCTTCTTCAAGGAAGGAATAGGAAGGGATTTCTCCTTGAACAACCTGTTCCAGAGCCTCCCAAATGTACAGGAAGGGATTTTTCCATATTTTGTACAGAGAACACTACAGGAGCTCGAGATGCAAACCCACCCTGCTGCTGGAGGTGGCAAGGAATGGGCTGGAAAGGTTAAAGTGGTTCGAAATGCTGGAGGTGGCAAAGGATGTGTTGGAAAGGTTAAGGTGGTTAAAAAGGTTACAAACGTCTTTGCTGGAGCCAAGCAGTGACCTGTGGTTAAAGCCTGGTGTCGTTTTGAAGCCTCTGGGGCTTTCAGCGCTGGTAAATAGGTCAGGACCGTGCTGCACCTCACCATCACCATCATTCCTCGTGCGCTGGGAGTGGGAGAGGGGTTTAGAGCAGCCTCTGGGGCTGTTCCCACCTGTGCTCCCCTCTGTGGCATCAGACCCACAGTGGGTCAGGCCTGGGGGCCCAAGTGGCTGCTGCTGGAAGGGCTCAGAGTGGCCCCAGCAGTGAAACCTTCACCCAGACCCCACAAAGCAGTGAAACACCAACCCAGACCCAACGAGCTGCCACAATCCCTGTGATTCATCCCTGCAGCAGCTCCCTGGGGAAGGGTAAGGCAGAGATCGTAAATCAGGGAGGAGAGGGCTCAGCTCCAGCCCAGAGGGGTCCCAGGAGCACTGGCAGCACTGTGGGCGCCCAGCTGGGGCTGTCTGTGCCCAGCCCTCACCCAGGGGATGGGTGATCTCACGTCTCAGTCTGCAATAATTCCTATTCTTGGATGTCGGAACGAATTCATTTCATTCCAGGCTTTGCCGTTGTGCCCGTGGCTCTGAGGGGCTCCGCAGGCCCTGGGGCTGCCCTGGCTGGGTGGGCAGAGCAGCCCTGAGTGTGTTGTGTCCCTTGCAGGTGTCCAGGGTGCCCGTGGAGTCCTGTGAGCAGTACACGACCTGCCAGGAGTGCCTGAGCTCGGGGGACCCGCACTGCGGCTGGTGCTCCCTGCACCACATGTAAGTCCAGCCTTCCCTGGTGATGAGAGCAGCTCCCAGAGCTCCCCAGAGCCTCCCACACGAAACAAGCCAGGCTGAAGTTCCCCAAGTCCATTTTTCTCTCCTTTGGGCATTCCCTGCATTGCAGCTCGGATGCCATTGGAGATCCCTGGGAGAGGGGAAGGGAAATCAACTCCTGCTGCAGGGGCAGGGTGATGTGGATGGAAAACCAGATGGGAAAATGATGGGAAACCAGAGGGGAAAATGATGGAAAACCAGAATTTGGACTGGTGGGAATGCAGGCCTGCTGGTTTGCACATCCCTCCTGCTGGTTTGCACACCCCACTGCTGGTTTGCACCCTCCTGCTCTTTGCCCAAGCCCCAGTAATGTGGAATTTTTAAAGGCAGCAGCAAACGGGATCCTGTGAGTGGGGCTTTGCTCCCAGCGAGGTTCCAGCAGCAGAGCAGAGCACTGAGCCCCTTTAAATCCCCAGAAGGGAATTTTCAATCCTGCAGGGGAGGTCAGGGGGTCCCAGCTCCAGCTGCTCCGGGGGGACCCGGCAGAGGGGCTGGGAGCTGGCACAAAGGGCTCAGGGTGCTTTTCTCCAGGGGAGCTCCAGGAAAGCCTCTCTGCATTCAGGAGGTGTCTGTGCCCTTCCTTTCTCTGGCCTGCCATAACAACCAGCACTTCCTAAGGCGGAAGGGAGCCCACGGGGCACAGGAGGGGACAGAAATCCCCCCGGCCCCGTGCCAGCTGCTGGGCAGCCCTGAGCGCCTGGCCGGGGGGGAGGAGGGCCCAGGGACCCGCACAGCAGCTCTTGGCCCCTTGCCTGGGGAGCAGGTGCTGGGGGGAGCTGCAGGCTCCTGCACAAACCCGGCCTGGATCCGGGGCTGGGGGCACAGCAGCTCGCAGAGTGGGGCTGGGGGCTGGGGAGGGGTGGGAGGGGCTGCTCAGCCCCTGAGCATCCCACAGGTTCCTCTCAAGGAGGGGCTGGGGGTACCAGCAGCTCCCCAGTATGAATCTGGATGCTGGGGAGGGGCAGGAGGGGCTGCTCAGCCCCTGAGCATCCACAGGTTCCTCTCAGAGAGGGGCTGGGGGTACCAGCAGGGCTCTGAGCATCCACAGGTTCCTCTCAGAGAGGGGCTGGGGGCACAGCAGGGCTCTGAGCATCCCCCAGCAGCAGCCCAGGGCCCTCTGAGCATCCCTTGGGGGTTTTTAGGTTTTTTCCTTCCCAAGCGAGCCCCCACAGCAGAGCCACCCTTGGTGCACCACGCCCCAAAGGCTTCCCTGCCCCAGCTCCTCTGGCAGCAGGGAATCGTTTCCATCCCTGTGTGCCCGCCCTGGGCAGGGGCTGCTGCAGCAGGAGCAGGGCTGGGGGCTCTGGGGCTGCTCCTGCAGCAGCTCCTGTGCAAGGATCAGCGAGCACTTCCCTCATGCTAATGAGCTGAATCTTCACAAGCCACCTGGGAGGCAGGTAAAGGTTGTTATCTTCATTTTGCAGAGACAAAACCCTCGATGACAAGAGGAGAGAAAAGTGTCATTTCCTCTGCCCTTTTGGCCATGACATTTCAGCATCAACCCACTCCCAACAAGGGCTCTTCCCCTGATGGGATTTATCAACCCTCCCTTCAAGCATCTGCACTTTGGAGCAGTGATCATTTTTTAGCTTTATTTTTTTAAGCTGTGAATAATTGCGTTTATCTTGCTGTTCCTCGAAGCCTCTGTCATCTTTGTTGGGAGGCCCCCAGCGCTGGAGTGTTTGTATTTAATTTGTCACCTCTCCCCTTTCATTCTCACGTGTTCCTGCTTCCAGCTGCTCCCTGGAAGGTGCTGGGCCAGGGGTGATGCTCCCGCTGAGTTTGGGGATGGCTGAAAGGCTGAGGGATGGAGCAGGAGGTGATTTGCTCATCCTCTGCACGGACAGAGGGATGCTTTGCTCTTTGGGAGCCGTCAGAGGCCTCCAGGAGATTGTTAGAGGATCTCTGCAGCCCAGTGGGATGTGAAGCCTGCAAGACTTCCCCGTGCTGCTCTCTGCAAGTGTGTTATTGTCTCCAGGCCTATTTATCTCTGTTGGTGCTGTTGCCATAAATAGGATGATAAAAAAGAGCCGTTCCAGCGAGTCAATGAGATAAAGACTCCAGTCAAGAGCTCACTTTAGGGCTATCTTAGAGATTCACTTAAACCTCGATATTTCTTCCTTTGGCACCATTCATATTTAGCTCCTTTATGCTCCAAAGGAAAAGGTACAAAAGGGAGAGGGTGAGGAGAGCAGCCCCAGCGTTTGCTGGGGATCAGGGGGGTGGTTTGGGAAGGGAAAGTGGAAACTTCACTTCCCTTCATCAGAAGCAAACTCCCACTGTTCCACAGAATCCCACAACGCTCAGGTTCAAAGGCACCTTAAAGGCAAATTTGCCACCTGCACCCATGGAGGAGGGGTTGGAAGGGAAGGATTTTCCCCAAATGACAAAAAGCAGGGAATCCTGGAGGGCTGCCAGCACCACAGTCTGCTCTGGAGCACTGGCAGCCCTGCCTTGGTGCCCAGTGGGTGCCCTGCTGGATTTCCCTCTGCAGCAAAGGAGGGATGAGGAGCTGTGCTGGGGCATGTGGAATGCTCAGAGCACTCCAGGCACCTTGGCACGCTTGGTTCCTGCTCAGAGCACACCTTGGCACCTTGGCATGCTTGGTTCCTGCTCAGAGCACACCTTGGCATGCTTGGCATGCTTGGTTCCTGCTCAGAGCACACCTTGGCATGCTTGGTTCCTGCTCAGAGCACACCTTGGCACCTTGGCATGCTTGGTTCCTGCTCAGAGCACACCTTGGCACCTTGGCACGCTTGGTTCCTGCTCAGAGCACTCCAGGCACCTTGGCATGCTTGGTTCCTGCTCAGAGCACACCTTGGCACCTTGGCATGCTTGGTTCCTGCCTTGTGGTTTTGCTGATCACTGAATATTTTCCAGCGCCCTTTGGTCCTAACCTGGTGCCCAACACCTGCTCCCTGTGCGGGGCATCACCAGGTCCTGCTGTGGACCATCTCCCAGGGGTTTGGGGTGTTTTGGGTGCCCTTGGGGGTGTTTTCAGCGCCCCGGGGGAGTGATTTCAGTGCTCTGGGTGGGATGTGCTCTGGAGGGTGTTTTGGGTGTTCTGTGTGGGTGTTTTCAGTGCTCTGGGAGAGTGTTTTAGGTGCTCTGGGGAACGTTTTCAGTGCCCTGGGGGGTATTCTGGGTGCCCAGGGGGATATTTTCAGTGCTCTGGGGGTGTTTTCAGTTTCCTGGGGGTGTTTTCAATACTCTAGGGGATATTTTCAATGCTCTAGGGGATGTTTTCAGTGCTCTGGATGGTGTTTTTTGTGCTCTGGGGGTGTTTTTGGTGCTCTGGAGGTGTTTTGGGCGCTCTGGGGGATATTTTCATTGCCCTGGGGATGTTTTCAGTGCTCTGAAGGGTGTTTTCAGTGCCCTGGGGATGTTTTCAGTGCTCTGGGGGTGTTTTCAGTGCCCTGGGGATGTTTTCAGTGTCCTGGGGGATGTTTTCAATGCTCTGGGGGATGCTTTTGGTGCTCTGAGGGGTGTTTTGGGTGCTCTGGGGGGTGTTTTCAATGCTCTGGGGGATATTTTCAGTGCTCTGGGGATATTTTCAGTGCCCTGGGGGACGTTTTTGGTGCTCTAGGGGGTGGTTTTGGTGCTCTGGGGGAGTTTTGGGTGCTATGGGGGGTGTTTTAAATGCTCTAGGGGATATTCTCATTCCCCTGGGGGATGTTTTGGGTGCTCTGGGGATATTTTCAGTGCTCTGGGGATGTTGTCAGTGCTCTGGGTGCCCCTGTGTGGCAGGTGCTCCCCGCGGGATCGCTGTGAGCGGGCAGAGGAGCCGTTCCGCTTCGCCGCGAGCATCGGGCAGTGCCTGAGCGTGGCCGTGCAGCCCAGCAGCATCTCGGTGTCAGAGCACAGCCTCCCGGTGAGCAGGGACAGGGACAGGGGCAGGAGGGACAGCCACCCCCAGCAGGGAGCAATCCACACCCCAGCCTTTCCCTTTCCCTCTGGCACAAGTGTTTTCTCATGAAGTCACACTCACACAGGGATGGGGCAGCCAAGGGGTCACTCAAGAGGGTGGAGAGGGATGGCAGAAACAAATCCCCTTCCCCTGGTGCCCCAGCTCACATTTCCCTGCTCTCTGTGGCTGCTAAAGGAAAGGCTTTGTTTCCCAAAAAGCTCCTCTGTGAGCTGGGCTCAGGCCTGGCTCTCTGAGCCTTCCCAGCTGTTGCTGCCCCACTCCTCTGTGGCAGCTGGTGCTGCTGCCCCCCTTGCAGCCCCCCTGTAAAAATGGTGTGGGGAGAGGGGGCTCAGCCCTGCAGACACTGGTTTGCCATGGGGACACTGCCCAGCCATGGTGGGGACACTGGGGACTCTCCCCAGCCGTGCTGGGAACACTGAGAACTCTCCCCAGACATTCTGGGGACACTGGGGACACTCTCCAGCCATTCTGGCGACACTGGGGTCTCTCCCCAGCCGTGCTGGGAACACTGAGAACTCTCCCCAGCCATTCTGGGGACACTGGGGACACTCCCCAGCCATTCTGGGGACCCTGGGACTCTCCTCCCAGCCAGGACAGGGTGGTCTCCCCCATTCATGCAGTGGGGAGGGAGGTGGTTTGAGCTCAGGGCTTTGGGGATGGTCCCTGCTGCTCTCAGGTCCTGCCACAGGCACTGAGGGTGGCAAAGCAACCAGGGGACAAAAATCTGCCATTGCCAGCACCCCAAGGCTCAGCATGGTTTGTATCCACAGAACATCCTTGCCTTCCCTTTTCCCCCTCCCTTCCCCATCACAGGGCAGCTGGCACCAACTGTGGGCAGGTGTGTGATTTCAGGGGGTTGTTTTGGGTGGGAAAACAGGCAGGGCTGGGGATTTGAGGGAGCTCTGGGCTGCTCTCCTGCTGACAGCTCTGCTTTGCTCCCTGCTGTCCGTGCTGCAGCTCAGGCTGAGGGTGAGCGACGCTCCAGACCTCAGTGCCGGGGTCAGCTGCCTCTTCGGGAACCTCAGCGAGGTGGAGGGGCAGGTGTCGGGCAGCCAGGTGCTCTGCGTGTCACCCGCAGCCAGAGACGTCCCTGCCATCCCCGTGGATCAGGGTAAGCGGTGGCTCCTCCAGCTGGCTGGGGGTTATTTACAGACACAAACGGGACGGGGCTGCTGTGGATCTGCCTCGAGCTGGTTTATTTTCCAGCATCAGTCTCATTACATGGTTGTGACAATGGGAAGATGCCAACAGCTCACATTCTAGGCAGCAGACACAAAACTTAATGTTACAACTCGCTTTATAAGCTTCTTGACCAATCACACAAAGCAAAAGCACTCTGACAGTATTTATATCTGTATAGTATATATTCTATATTGACAGTAGTTCTATGTAACCACTTACAAGCCCAGGTACCTTTGGTTAAACAATGCTGCCCCAGCAGCAGCCGCAGGGGGCTCAGCAGAGGGCAGGGGGCAGCAAATCCCCCCGGCTGTGCCAGCAGCAGGGACAGCAGGGACAGCAGGGACAGTGACAGGCCCTGCTCTGTCCCCAGACTGGTTCGGGGTCGTGCTCCAGCTGAAGTCCCGGGAGACCGGCAGGACCTTCGTCAGCACCGAGTTCAAGTTCTACAACTGCAGCGCCCACCAGCTGTGAGTGCCCCCTCCCCACCCCGGGCAGAGCCAAAAACAGCCCCGAGGGTTTGGGGAGGGGGCGCTGGGGGTGGCACCGGGCCCGGGGCACAGGGCGGGCTCGGGGGGATCCGGGGGGATCCGGGAACGGCGGAGGAGGCAGAGCCGGCAGCAACCTCAACCTGCTGGTGCCCCCAAGCTGCGCGATCCCGCAACTGAGAGCGGGAGGGAATGGGGATGGGATTGGGGGATTGGGGGATTAGGGACTGGGAACGGGGAATTGGAAATGGGGATGGGGGATTGGGGATTGGGGGGAAGGGAAGGGAAGGGAAGGGAAGGGAAGGGAAGGGAAGGGAAGGGAAGGGAGAACAGAGGGGCTGGGGAGGTGGGAGGTGAGATATGGAGGAGATGAGATGTGGGCAGGGAAAGGTGGGATGCTGTCTGTGGGAGCCCCTGCTGGGAATGCTGGAGGCCAGGCCAGGTGAGCTGAGCTGCTACAGACCCAAAGAGGGACAGAATCGGGTCAGACAAATGAGTAATTAAAGAAGCTCTCAGCACTCCCCAGATTTGCTGTGAGGATCAGAATAAGCTCCCCTGGCTATCGAGGCCAGCAGGATGCTCGGGAGAGCACAATGAGCCATCGGAGCTGTTGTGGTGGCAGCAGCTCTCACTGCCCTGCTCCCCGTGCCCAGCTGGGACAGCCCAGCCTGCAGAGCTGCTCTGCTCCTCTCCAGAGCTGCCCCAGGCCACGCTGCCGCCTCCCTGGTGACATTTGTCTGCCTGGCCTGGCCTGGCTCCAGCAATCCGGGGCACTTGCCCCTACAGCGCCTGGAGCCACGGGCAGGGCATGGCCCGAATCCACGGGCACAGCTGATCCTGCTGCCACCACGGGCTGCCACGTGGCACCAGGGGTGGCCTCGGAGATGGAGGAGGTGGCAACTGCCAGGGCTGGCAGCTGTCGCAGCTCCTGCCTCTCTGTGAGAGGGGAACAGAGCCCACCCGGCCGCTCTGCTGGCAGCTGGGTCCCCCGGGGCTGAGCAGGGTCTGTGTTCTTTCAAAAACATTTCATAAGCAGTTATTTTCTTTTCCCCAACATGAATCAAAAGCACTTGCAGCACCCCCTGCTCTCCCAGGCCAGGCAGGAGCGTTGCTGCTGCCTTGAAGCATTCCTGACTTGCAGAACAACTGATCCCATTTTTGCCAGGCTTGCCTTCTTTCCTAGGAGCCAAAGCCCAAGCCTGGTGCCTGTGCAGTGCCCTGCTCTATTTTACACCAATCCAAGGAAGTGCAGTAAATCCCAGCTTGCATTTTACCCTGGGATAAACTGTGAGGCTGCCCCAGGTCTGTTTTGGGAGCTGTGTGCGTTTTCCCAAAGTCATTTCTTGTTTTGTGCTCTATCAAAGGAATTCTTCACCAAAGGAATTATTTTCCCAGGGAAATAATTTGAATTTCTGGCAAGGCCTGGAGGAGGCTGCAGCCCTGCCCGGGTGCTGAGGCCTGTGCTGACCCTGCTCTCCCCCCAGGTGCCTGTCCTGTGTGAACAGTGCCTTCCGCTGCCACTGGTGCAAGTACAGGAACCTGTGCACCCACGACCCCACCACCTGCTCCTTCCAGGAGGGGAGGATCAACGTCTCCGAGGTACCATGGGATGGTGTTCACGGGGGTCTGAGGGCGAGGGGAGAGACAGGATCTGACTCCGTGGTTCAGAAGGCTTGATTTGTTTTTTGACATTTTTAATTTTTATAATTATTTTATTATATATACTATTTTATTGTATATATTATAATTATTTTATTATATATATTATTTTATGATACATATTATAATTATTTTATTATATATATTATATTAAAACTATACTAAAAGAATAGAAGAAAGGATTTCATCAGAAGGCCAGCTAAGAATAGAATAAGAAAGAATGATAACAGAGGTTTGTGCCTTGGACTCTCTGTCCGAGCCAGCTGACTGTGATTGGCCATTAATCAGAAACAACCACATGAGACCAATCCCAGATGCACTTGTTGCATTCCACAGCAGCAGATAACCATTGTTTACATTTTGTTCCTGAGGCCTCGCAGCTTCTCAGGAGGAAAAAACCCTAAGGAAAGGATTTTCCATGAAAGATGTCTGTGACAGTGCCACGCTGGGATTCCTCCCTCTGTCCTCTGCTTTTCCATGCCCCAAGCACCATAACCGTGTTGATGTGAGCTTTGTGGGTTTCTCTGGTGCCCACAAGTGCAGGAGCAGCTTTAAGCAGGGCAGTGCTGGTGTCACTGAAGAGCTGCTCCTGACCTGAGCAGCAGAGCTGAGCCCTCCCTGCAGTGTGGGAATGCCCAGGTTCATTAATTACAGTAATTGCTGTAGTGCTTTCCCTCAGGGGTGCCAGAGACTCCAGCACTTCCAGCAGCTCTGCTTTGCTCGCTCTGAGCACAGCTCTGGTCCCTCCTGTTGGGATTTATGGCAGGGCCTGACTGTGGCTGATGAAGGAATTACCAAAGAGCACAGCCCCAGATTTTGGAAAAGGGAGCTGGTTTGGGTTCCAGCACCCTGGACCCGGAGCCATCTCTCTTAGCAGCTCATAAAAGGTGTGGGGCTCCCATCCAAAAATGCTTTTAACACTTGGAAAGGCACGGGCTGTGAGTGGCTGTGCCAGCTCTCCTGAGTGTCCCAGGGCAGTGGCATCCGTGGGGGAAAGGGGTTTGTTAGCACAAATCCTGATTTACCACTGCAAGGAGCCCTTGGTCCGGGGTTTCTGCACTCCTTGTCCTGCCTGATCCCCTGCCTGATTCATCCTCACAGGGTCCTGGTGCTGCAGGGTCCTGCTCTTTGCCCCCACTGTTCTGAAATAAGTGCAGCTCTGAAAGCTGCAAGGGAAAAACAGTTTAAAAGATGCTCTGGAAATCCTGAGGGTGCTGGAAAGTGGGAAAGGCAGCAGTGAGGACATCTACAAATAGGAGAAAAACAGAGGAGAGGAAAGTGTGCCAGCATCCAGACAAATCCTTGTCAGTGAGTGATGGAGATGGAGAAAAACAGGAGGGATCAGTCAGTGCTGTAAACACTGAGCTGTCAAAAGGAGTGGAGGTTTAGCCAGGTTGATGCTGGGAGTAAACTCCACTCTGTGTCTCCCTGGCTGCCAGGAGAGGTAAAGGGCAGAGTCATTTCTGAGCTGTGCAAGGACCTGCTGGGAAGCTGCGAACCCAAGGATGGGAATGGGTGCCCAGGGAGGAGCTTCCACCCCAGACAAAAACCAAACCCTTTCTCCATCTTTCAAAGTCAGGAAACTTCCTTTCACCATATCAAGAGAAGGCAAAACCCTTCGCCTCTCCTCCTCTTGAGTGCTGGGGGGTGTTCTCCTCCACACCCCAATAATCCCTGTTCTCCCAGGCTGCACAGGTGGAGCTCTCCCTTCTCTGGGTCCCCAGCCCTGGGATTTCAGCAGTGTCTGACAAGTCCCTGCTAGAGCAGGACAATCCCATCATCTCTGTTTTCCCCCTGGGAGCACCCTCAGGTCACACAGAGGGAGAGAGGAGCAGTTGGAATCCCTGGAAGTTCCTGCTGGGATCACAGGGCTGTCTCCAAAGAACTTCCTTTGTCTTCATCTTGCAGAGGATTTCTCACCAGGGATGTTTTGGGACACCTCACACCCTCCTGGTGATTACCTGGTGGTTTGGGACACCTCACACCCTGCTGGTGATTAGCTTTGATAAGGGCTGATGATAACGATACAAGTGCTCTCCATCATTTCTCCCCCAGACCTCTGAGCACAGGCCAAACCACCCCAAGTAAATGTGTTTGCTCATTTAAGAGCAATGAATTTCCCCTCCACACACAGCCTGGTGATGATGCCTTTGCTATGGGCTCTTCACCAACACACAAATAAGCAAATGCCTCGTGGAGGGTTTCCTCTCCTCAACCAATTCAGATCACAATGTTCTCATTGTGTCACGGCCTGATGTATTAGGAAATTGTTTGTGCTTCCCTGGCTGCCTCCCCGGCAGAGCCAGTGGTGTTTGGAGTGGGGATCTCCGTGCCTGTGCCCTACTTTCAGTCCCCTGTGCCTCTCCTTACGTAAGGTTTACACACGTGTTCACACGGGCCTGCACATCGCTCGCGTCTTTATCTTTAATTCAAGGGAAAATATCTTGAATATTCCCTTTTACTCCTGGCCCATCAGAACTGGCGTCCCAGTGGGATTGGATGTGTAACGAGCTCCCTTTGATGCTCCCAGGAGTTGTCTGTCTGGAGGAGGAACGAGGGCTGGAAGCCTCAGCCACTTCGGGAGGAGATGGGGGAGAGAAATTCCCTTTTCATGGGCTGTGCTCTTGCTCCTTGCAAGCCTCTGCCCTGCCTGCCATGGAAATGCAGCCCAGGGAGTTTCCTCATCCCTCCACCTGCCCTGCCAACAGGAATTGTGTGCTCAGATCCCAGGGCAGAGCTCAGGGAGCCCCAAATGTGGGTGGGTGCTTTAGGAACAGTGGAGCTGTGGTTTGGGGTCACTGGTCAGTGGATGCAGATATTTCACAGCCTTTGCAGCAGAGGGATCCTGCAGGACAGGGCTGGCTGCTCCTGATGTTCTCCCTCTCCTGGGAATTTCTGAGATCCTCTGAGGTCTCCCTTTCCAGGTAGCCAATTCTTTAGGAGTTAATAATTAGAGAAGCAATTATTTCCCCATCCTTTTCCTGGTCAGAGCCTTCACTGTCAGCTGAAGGTGCCTGCTCAGACCTTGCCCCCACTAAATCAGGATTTCTCCAAGAGATTCTCCTGGGTGTGGAGCACTGATTGTCCCACTTTACAAAACCCCAATCAAGCCAATGAAGCCATGTGGTTTGGCTTGTGTGTGTGTGAGGTTTTAGGATGCCTCTCTCTAAATGAGGAGGAATGTGGATTCATAAACATCCTCACACCCCATCCCAGAGGAGAGCTAGAACCAAATAAATCCTCTTAGCTCCCCAGGATGTGAGAGCCCGTCCCCCTTTGATGTCCAGTGTGTGCTGATAATGCCATTTCCACAGGGGGACGCTGATCTGGGGACACAGAGCTCCAGATTCGGGGATTTCAGTGCCCTTGGGGCTCCTTTGAATTCCCACTGATTTTATGGCAACGCCCTTGCCCCTGGCTGTGCCCTTGGGTGCTGAGTGCTGCTTGATGTGCCCTGAAGGAAACAGAACAAACCAGAACCAGCCCTGCAGAGCTGCCCTGCCAATCCCCATGCCAGCAGGGCCGAGATGTGCTGGAGGTGACTCAGAGCCACAGCTCAGGCCACCAAAGGCAGCCAATGACTTTGCAGGGTCACACCTCACTTTGGGGAGATGCCTTTGCCTGAAATAGGAGCAAAAAGCCCGGTTTCAGCAAAATTCCCTCAGCTCTGAGCCGTGGCAGCGCTTTCATCAGCCGTGCTGTGGATGTTTGGTGTTCAGAGGGAGGGATGCAGGAGCAGAGGGAGATCTCCCTGCCTGTACCCTGTGCCAGGGAGCTGCTCCTGGCACACAAAGGGCTGTTCAGAACAGGGAAAGGTGCTGAACACCCCCCTGCCTCCCAAAGCGATGGAGAACACCCAGGTTACGGCTTTTATCATCCGTGCTGTGGATGTTTGGTGTTCAGAGGGAGGGATGCAGGAGCAGAGGGAGATGTCCCTGCTTGTACCCTGTGCCAGGGAGCTGATCCTGGCACACAAAGGGATGTTCACAGCAGGGAAAGGTTCTGAACACCCCCATGCCTCCCAAAGCGATGGAGAAGACCCAGGTTGGAGCTCAGGGCTGGTGGTGTGGGTCAGGAATTCGCCAGGCTGGGCTCCAGCTGCCTTCCTTTCATGTCTGGTTTCCAAGGAGCGGGGGCTGCTCTCCCTTCCCGTGGCATAAATGAAGGATAATGTGTTCCCATGAGTGACAGGGACTGTAATTTATATCATTGGGAGCACAACTGTGAACCAGGGGTTTACATTCACGTGCCAGATTGGGTTATGTTTATAACTTTAAAATAACGTGCGGCAAGTTTACATTTGTGGAGAGTTTGCGGGGGTTTTTTGAAGATGAAAAGTACAGAAACAGTCTATTTTCTGCCATTTGGGCTAAATCCTCTAGTCAGAAGAATTGCCTGCCATTTCTAGGCAATTTTTTTTTTCCAAATAAGAGCAAGGAGGTTTGACCTACTAAAACTGCTCGGTTAAACACAAATAATAACCATGGGTGCTCTGTTCTGCTCCAGAGACAGCTGCAGAACGTGGGTCTTTAAGGTATTTATAGACCTTGGAGTCTTTGAGGCTAAAAAGTGTTGGAGAAGCATAAAATGTCTTTGTAAATTGTGTGTGCTGATACTTCACAGGCAGAACATTCCCCGAGAGTCTGTGCCACTCAGGCACCCCAGCCTTGTCTTCCTCCAGCAGATCTGATCCGTGTTTATTCTGGCTCCGGGAAGTCAAGGAGGATAATGAGAGGATTCTGCCTGTTTGTTTAGAGAGAGGAGGCAATAATGGCCTTTCTGACTCGCTGCAGGATTTACCTCTCATGAATTAAAAAACAAAGTAAACTGATTATGGAACGAGCTGTGTGTTCCGCCGCCTTCACTCGGTGTTTTCTGGCTGGTTCTGGCTCTTCCTGGGGAGGGAACCAGGATGGGGCACCCAGGCTGAGCCTGGCACTGCAGGGACACGAGGAGGGACCTTGGCTGGTGCTGCCACCCCTTCCCAGGGCACTTCCTGTTGAGGGGATCAGCACGGACAGAGGCACTGCCCAACCGATGATAAATAAACCCCTGACAAAATCATTTACCTGAGCACTGGCTGTTCCACCAGGGAGCAGCTGGGAGAGGTGGTGGATTTTCAGGGATTTGGGGATGCAGGGACGTGGCTGTGCAGGATTTGGGGTGCAGGGGTGTGACTGTGCAGGGATTTGGGTGCGGTGAATTGGGTTTTCAGGGATTTGGGGTGCGGGGACATGGCTGTGCAGAGATTTGGGTACAAGGACATGGATTTTCAGGGATTTGGGGTGCAGGGATGTGGCTGTGCAAGGATTTGGGTGCAGAGACATGATTTTTCAGGGATTTGGGGTGCAGGGATTTGGCTCTGCAGGATTTGGGGTGCAGGGATGTGGCTCTGCAGGGATTTGGCTGTGCAGGGATTTGGGGTGCAGGGATGTGGCTGTGCATAGATTTGGGTACAAGGACATGGATTTTCAGGGATTTGGGGTGCAGGGATGTGGCTCTGCAGGGCCGTGGGTGCACATCACTGAAGCAGCAATTTTAAAAACAAACTGGAAAAAGAAAAGCCCCGAAAGCTGAGCTTTCCCTGGGGCTGGAAATGCTCCCAGGGGCTGCACAGGATCTGAGGGTCTGAGCTGACCCCAGCCCTCCCCAGCCCCTGCAGCTCCTCTCGCCCAGCTCAGAAATTCAGCAGGCACTGCCCACGAGCATCCTGGCTCTGCTGGAGTCTGGCATCCTCCCACAGATCCCTGCATCCCCAACGTGGGTCCCTTGTTAGCGTGATCACTGCGGCTCTCAGCCAGCACCGAGGGGCCGCTCGCTCCTGCTCAGGCTGCCTCGCCTTCCCCACAACCCCAGTGTGACATTTGCCGTCCTCTGGAACCAAAGGAATGGAAAAGCAGATAAATCTATTTTGCCCCACTTGCCTCTAATGATGGCAGAGCAGTTTTTGCTGGCAGCACTTTCAGCAGCAGGGAGCAGATGTGGGATGGAGTCCCCTCCTGTGCCTGGGAAGGAAGGAGCCTCTCCTTAGCAGTCTCCTCACGGACTGAGCTGGCCAGGAGGGATAATGGTCCATAACATATTCATTATTTTCAGGACCGTGCACTGAAGTTCTCCCACTGGTGATGCAAGTGGAGATATTTTGTTTTCAGTTGTGATGGGGTAAAGGATTCTGCAGCTCTGGGTTGCTTTTCCTTCCAGCCCTCGGGGCTGGGCCCCTCTGCTGGAGCTCAATGGGGCTTTGGGGTGAAATCCAACCCTTAGTGCAGGCAGGTGTTGAGTGGAAGGTGGCACAGGTGAGTGGTGCTTCAGGAGAGGAGGGAATGTGCAGAGTCAGCTTGGAAGAGCTGGATGGAAAATGCTGTGAATCCATTTTCCATCAAAACTGGGCTGGATCCATGGGCAGGGTCAGTGGGAAGCAGGGAATGCCATTCCCTCCCAGCCTGTGAACCCTCTCCTCTGCAGGAAAGGGCCTCCCTTCCCTCCCCAGCGCAGCTGATGGAGTTTGAAATCACTCTTGGCTGTTAATCCGTGAAAGTCCCTGTTAGGAATAAAATAAAATATATATACGGAAAAGTGCCACTAAAAAGGTTTATGAGGCTGCAGTTTAAGTGAGTGGCTGCTCCAGAGCTGAGCATCTGTTCCTCATTTACAGCTGGCTTGAGCCGTGCTGAAACACTTCCCCTGGCTGGGGGCTGCCTGACCTGGGGAGGGGGATTTTCCCCATTTCCCCCCTGCACACAGGATCCTGGGCACGATGGCTCCTGGCACTGCCATCAGCACGATTCCCTTTCATCCCCAGGCTGCAGGGCCTTGGGGTGCCACTCTGGGATTTGGCAGAGGGAACGGAGACTGACGTGTTTGTTCTAAACTCCTGCTTTAGCTGGGGATTAATCACTCAGTGTCAGGTGCTTACAGGTGCTTAGGTACCTTGTTCCATTAGATCAAAGCAAATTAGAGCTGCGCAGAATGTAAATACAGCTGGTGGTCAGAGGTGCTGCAGTTCCTGCTGCAGAAATTGGAGAAAAATTGTATTTCCCAGTGTGTTGTGCAGAGATAATGTTTGGGATGTTGAGATCTCACGGGAGGGATGTCACACCGTTACCAGCAGCTGATAAGTCATTTTTGTGGTTTCATTCAGACATTCTGTTTGTGCTTGGGTGACCTGGATATCTGTGCAATGGTGTTTCACAGAGTCACACATGCTTTGGATGGGAAGGTGTCATGGTTTTGTTCACATCTCCCAGAACCTGAAACACTGAGGTGTCCTTGATTGCCAGGCCTGGAGAGGAATTGTTGTGTCTGACCAAAACGGGAGAGCAGCATTATATATATAACTACATATATATAATATATATAACTCCAGACTCACACTGTGTATGGAGTTTGGAGTTACACACTCCAAATTTTGCAGGATTGCAGGATTACAATTATATAAAAAAGTAGAAAAATATAAAAAGTATAAGTATGGAGTTTGGAGTTACACACTCCAAATTTTGCAGGATTTCAAGATTATAATTATAAGTAGAAAAAGAAAAAAGAAAAATATAAAAAATGTAAGTATGGAATTTGGAGTTATACACTCCAAATTTTTCAGGATTTGCAGGATTGCAGGATTACAATTATATATTTAAAAAATAAAAGAAAAATATAAAAAATGTAAGTATGGAATTTGGAGTTATACACTCCAAATTTTTCAGGATTTGCAGGATTGCGGGATTACAATTATATATAAAAAATATATTAAAATATATAAGAAAAATATAATAATATAATTATGGAGTTTGGAGTTATACAGTCCAGATTTTGCGGGATTTGCAGAATTGCAGGATTACAATTATATAAAATGTTAAAATATAAAAATGTATAAAAATATCAAATATTTAAAATATAAAATATAAATATATAAAATATAAAAATAAAATCCAAAATATATATAATATATAAAACAATACATAAAATATATAAAAATATAAAAGCTAAAATGCTAAGCATCCCCAGCACACCCCACCCCTGACCTCGTCCCTCTCCCGTTGCCCCCCAGGACTGCCCGCAGCTGTTCCCCACGGAGGAGATCCTGATCCCGGTGGGAGAGGTGAAGCCCATCACGCTGAGGGCCCGGAACCTGCCGCAGCCCCAGTCGGGCCAGAGGGGCTACGAGTGCGTGCTCAGCATCCAGGGCATCGTGCACAGGGTGCCCGCCCTGCGCTTCAACAGCTCCAGCGTGCAGTGCCAGAACAGCTCGGTGCGTGAGAGGGGCACGGGCATGGGCATGGGCATGGGCGTGGGAATGGGCACGGGCAGGGCATGGGCATGGGAATGGGCACGGGCATGGGCACGGGCATGGGCATGGGCATGGCTGGCAACGCCTGGGGAGGGGGGAAAATCTCTCTAATCCCAAATCCCAGCTGGGAGAATGCCCACAGGGAGGAGATGCTGGATCTGGAGTGCCCTGGCTGCCTGTGGGAGGTCGGCCTGGGAAAGGGGAGGAGGAGGGAATGCAGGAGGTGTTGAGGCAGGCTAATTCACACGCGGGGAGATAAGGAGAATCACAGACCCCTTATCGGGGAGCTGTCACATCCCAGGTCACGGTGGCTGGATGAATAGAGCGGTGCTGGAGAGCGGGGAAGGAGGGGGAGAGGGAAAGTGATGGGGGAGAGAGGGAGCGGGGCTGGAGAGGGGAATCACCAGGTGGAGGGGGAATCACCGGGGGATGCTGCCCAGGAGAGAGGCTGGGGAGGGGAATCACCAGGTGATGCTGCCCAAGAAAGGAGAATCACCAGGGGATGCTGCCCAGGTGATGCCGCCCAGGAGCAGGGCAGGGTTATCCCCTCCTCAAAACAGGGCTCAACCTCACCAGAACACCCCAAATTCACCCTGCTGGGCACTCTGTGATGCCAAAACACAAATGGCAAAGCCAGGCACCCCCACCCTGATCCACAGCCCAAAATTTGGGTCTCCTGTGTCCCCTCACGAGCGTGGCCCTGCCTCTGCTCACCATGTGCTCAGAAAGGGCCCTGGGCAAAAAGGGCACAGTCAGTTTGTTTTAGGCAGCACAACAGGGTCCACTTGAATATTCAGTGCAGATGGCCTTAAATTGTTAATGAAGTTTTGAATTTTTTAAAGTTTTACTGGATATTTATACATCACTGGCCGTCTTTGGGCCTTGCAGCTTGGTGGATAATAAATGCATTAATAGTACATAGTACTTTTCCTATCCAGAGTGATTTATAAGCATTAGAGAAGCACTTTTATTGCTGTTGGGCTGATAGGAAGTGGTAGGGGGAGGATGTGGGGGCCATTTTGGACTCACAGCTTCTTGTTCCACCCCAGCTTAGTAAAACCCACCCCAGTTAAACGTGAGTTAAAGCTGCACAGCTGCTGCCCAGGGACAGGCAGAGCACTCTGCCCTGCTTTCATCACCACTCCCTCCTCCCAGGGAGCATGGCAATGCTCACTCACCTCCTGAAATCTTTTTAGCAGCTCTTGGTTGACCTAAAGAGAGCTCCAGAGTGGGGCCTGGCCAGTGCTGGGTGTGATAATGGGAATTTCAGCATTCACTGGGAATTCAGCTGCAGCATCCAGCCTCACTCAGCCACGGGCCCCAGGACGTCAGAAAAAGGGGAATAATTCAGGCCAGTGCTGTCCTGGGGCAGGCTGAGGCAGTGGCTGGGGCTCTGCACCATCTATTTTTGCTCTATTTTCCTGTTCCACCTGCAAAGCTCTGCAGTGGGGTTCTGGGGCTCCCAGTCACAAACTGGGCAAAAGGCAGCCTGAGGGCAGCTCCAGTCCCAGTCTGGTTACCTGGAGGGGCTGTGTTGGCAAGCCAGAGACTGAGTGATGAGAGCAGCCACTGCAAGAGGAATAATTAATCTGTTACCTCTCACAAGGACTAGATCTGATTTAATTATCTCCTCCTGATGAGGAGAAGGGACTCAAAGCAGAGCCCTGGAGATGAAGTGTAAAAATGTGGTGTCTGAGGCACCAGCAGATGTTTTTAAACAGAGAATGAAGATGGTTTCTCTCAAAAAACCCTCTTTGCCTGGGAGTGTTGTCTCCCCAAGCATTTCACTCTGGATCTTACCCCGCAGTACCTCTATGATGGGATGGACATCAGCAACCTGGCAGTGGACTTTGCCGTGGTTTGGAACGGGAACTTCGTCATTGACAACCCCGAGAACGTGAAAGGTAAAGTCTGCTTGAATTGGCTTCAGGCCATGCCAGTTGTGTCCCTTGGAAGTCCCTCAACCCCAGCTATACCCCAAGGGTATATCCCAGCTGTATCCCAAGGAAATACCCAATTCTCAGCTGTATCCTGAGGGAATCCCCAATCCCAGCTGCACCCCAAGGGAATCCCTCAGTCCCGATTGAATCTGTCCATCCCAACTGTGTCCCATGGAAATCCCTCAATCCCACCTGTACCCCAAGGGTATATCCCAGCTGTATCCTGGGGGAATCTCCCAATCCCAGCCATGTCCTGAGTGAACCCCCCAGGCCCAGCTGTACCCCAAGTGAACCCCCCATCCCCAGCTGCCCCCCAGGATCCCCCCCAGCTAACCCCCCGTTCCTGCCCCGCAGTGCACCTGTACAAGTGCGCGGCGCAGCGCGAGAGCTGCGGGCTGTGCCTCAAGGCCGAGCCGCGCTTCGCGTGCGGCTGGTGCAGCGGCGAGGAGCGCTGCACCCTGCGGCCCCACTGCAGCTCCCCGGGCGCCCTGCCCTGGCTCCACTGGGCAGGACACAACGTCAAGTGCTCCAACCCGCGCATCACCGAGGTGAGCCCGGCCCCGGCCCCTGCTCCCCTGGCGTGGCAGCGAGACCCTGGACGGGGATGAGTGCATTGACTCTGTGATTGCAGAAGGCTGATTAAATGCTTTATTCTAGCATATGATACTATATATAGTATATATGTACTATATATCTATATATAGATATATAGTACATATATACTATATATGGTATATAGTATATATACCATACTATATAGTATATACAGATATATAGTATATATACTATAGATATATGGTATATATATACTATATATCTATATAGTATATATAGATAGATAGATATAGATATACTAGAGATATAAATTTAAATGTATAGATATATCTATGTATCAATATATCTATATTGTATGATAGATATATACTATATATATATCATACAATACTGTATGTAGATACATATTATACTACTGCACTACACTACATTGTACTACTATGCTACATTATATTATACTACTATACTACACCATACTTTACTACTATACTCATACTTTACTACTATACTATGCACTATATTGTACTACTGCACTACACTCTATTATACTACTAGACTATACACTGTACTATACACTATATTATACTACAGAGAATCAATCACAGACTCTCAGAATTATGAAGCTAGAAGAGACCTCTAAGATCATCAAGTCCAACCTACGCTCCAACACCTCGACTATAGCACCAAGTGCTATGTCCAGTCTTTTTTTGAACACATCCAGAGATGGTGATTCTAGCAGCTCACTGGGAAGAGCATTCCAGTACTTTATTGTTCTTTCGGTGAAAAATGTCTCCCTAATATCCAACCTGTACCTTCCCTGATTTAGCTTGAGACTATACACTATCATACTGCTGTACTATGCACTATTATACTACTACTACTGCACTGCCCTGTACTACTACCAAGAAAATCCCATCACCCTTGCCAGCCAGTCCAACACACAGGTGGATCCAACTGGTCAATGAATCCAAACACCACCTCCTGAGTCGAATTAACAAATCACCCTTTGGTAAACAATCTCCATAACACATTCCACGTGTACATAACAGGCGCAAGAAATGAAGGTAAGGATTGTTTTAATTCTCACTCTGAGCTTTCTCACAGCCTTACCCAGGAAAATCCTGGGAATTGCTGTGTTTCTCTCTGTGTTCAGAGGATGTGTGATTGCCACACTCCCCCTGTGCTGCCCCAAAATCCGCCCAGCCCTGAGAAATGTGGGTAAAACACTCCAGAACTTTCTGGGATGTTTTAGTGTGCAGCCTCTGCCCCACCCACACTGCAATGACCGCCACAGACTGCAGCGGGAATGCTAATTAAACCAGGGAGCTAATTAGTCTGGAGTTGGTGGTTCTGATATTTCTGCTCAGCCCACTGAGGGATGCAAAATGTGTCCCGGGAGCATTTTCAGCGGTGAAACTGCACTCGCTCTGTTAACGCTGCTATGAGGAGCGACACTCCTGTCAGGTGGGAACCAAGGCAGGTTTGGGTTTCTCAGTTAATTAAATCCCCAAAAAAGCCTCCCTTGCCTTGGCTGTGTATCCACACTGCAAAAGGTGTAGCACAGCAGGATCAGAGTTGTCTGTTACACCAATGCTGCTGGCACTGCTGCTCAGCACCCAAAGTCTGCCAAATGGATCAGAACCCAAGTGAGTGTGGAAGTCTCCTCTTAAATTAAATAAGTTTTTGCACTGGTTTAACTAAACTGGCTCAGATCCCGTGGGAGGGAGGCATCAACCTCCTTTTATGGAGGAGAGGAGGAAGCACAGAGGCTGCTGCTGTTTGTGGGCTGGGTGGGGCTGGCAGGAGAATGGTGTCACTGAGGAGGGTCCATCCATCCTCAGGGACATTATCAGATTTGGTTTTGGCATTTTGGTATTTCTGCCTTGGGCCTTCTGCCAGCAGCGGCACACCTTTGCTGGGCAGGTGTTTCTTTGTGCAGGTGTTTCTTTGTGTAGGTGTTTCTCTTGTGCAGGATTTCTCTCGTGCAGTTTTGTACAGGGCAGAGTGGAGCTGGTGGTTGGTTGTGCAGGGATAGGAAAGCACTAAAAAGGATTGGTAAGCCTGTCCTTTCCCTGCTTGGTTAGTCTCTTTGTTTTCCAAGTCCCAGCTGTGCTACCAAGAGATAAAACGATCCTTAAAGGCTCCCCTGGATCTTCCCCTTGCCCTGCCACTGGGCAGAGCCCAAATTTCTCTTGCCCAAGTTCTGTTCTGCTGCACAAGGTTGTGCTACAGGAAGCAAAACAGCCTCTGCTGAGATTTGCTTCCCCATAAGCCATGCAGAAAGTTGTCAATTCAAAGAAATGTTGGAATTCTTTATCTGCCCCTCCTTGAGCTGGGCAGAGAAGGGGAAAGCAGCGAGTGACTCGCGTGTGAGCAGTGCCAGGCTGGCTCTGGCAGCTGGCTGCAGGCAGGGCACTGCCACCAAGTGTTTCATCACTGTCCAACTTGAAAGCAATACTTTTGGGCTCTGTCCAAGCAGAAAAGAGCAGAGCTCTGCTGTTGCAGATTTCTTGACTCCATCCCCAGGTCTGTGTCTGAGACTGTGGAGGAGACCATGAGACCTTCCCAGTGTTTGTTGCTGCTGGGTCCTTTCCCAATATCTGAATTTTCTCAGGATTTTGGGTACATTTTGCCATGCCCAGTGCTGCAGAGCTGCACAGCTGGGAGGACACCCTGCCCTGGCCCTGACAGGTCCAGGCTGGCACTGGTGCCAATCCCCCATCCCCTGGGCACCAGCAGTGACAGGACTGGGGAGCAGGCTTTGCTCTCATGCTGGAGCTCACATTGCAGCCTGGGTTACCCAGAGTAAAAAAGCCTTTAATGTGGGCTGGTTTTCCACTCCTTTTGCTTCATCTGGCCAGGTTCACTCTTTGTGACAAGGCTGAGGTCAAGGGCCTGGCTCCCAGGCGCCACTGCCTTCGGGGGATGCATAAATGAGGAGATTGTGTCTTAATAGTTCTAAAAGTAAATGAGCAGTGGGGAATTTGCAGTCCTGTCACTGAGTGAGAGGTCCAGCCCTCCCCAGCAAAGTCCCCTCAGCCGCTTAAAGCTTCCACCCGGCCCGTGGCCTTAGCAATAAATAAATAAAAATCAGATTTCTGGCGAACAAGCGGCACTCTGATCTCCTATTCATTTATTTGCAGGCCTCATTAATATAACATCAGCGCAACAAACAGCTGAAGGGGGGGCAGTGTCAGGCTGAATAATGGAGTTGCTCTGCTGAGATAACAATTAGGCTCTGAATGTGCCATCAGCTGAGGCAGAGACAAGGAGGGATCATGCCGGGATGACAATGCTCATGTGCTGCCTCCCCGCTGGGCTCATCAGCCGGGATCCAGGGCTCGGAGCAGCAGCAGAAAAGCACAGAGAGGATGGAGGTGGCTGGGGTTGGGGAGGGGGCAGGGGCTGGGCCGTTGATTGGGGTCTCTGTGCACCCCAGCAGATGCCGAGGGCTCGCTGTGCAGGGCTGTGCCTTCCCTGCAGCTCCAGCTCCACTCTCCCTGGATCCTCACTGACTTCTTCTGTGCCTTCCTTCCCTGCAGCTCCTCAGGGAAAGCCCCAGCAGCCCCAGCTCTCCCCGGCTCCTCTCTGACTTCTTCTGCAGGCAAAATGTTGCTTCATGTCAGAAACGCTGAAAGATTCGAGCGGCAAGACATGACACTGAGAACATTTATCCCTCATTGCTGGAGCTGTGTCCTCTGCAGGCTGCGAGGGGAAAGGTTTTGGCACTGGGCTGGGGCTCCTGGGACCCTGGGATCCTTGGATCCCAAACGTGGGGGTCCCTTGGGTTCCATCCTTGGGGATCCCTTGGGTTCCAGCCTTGGGGATTTCTTGGATCCCAACCTTGGGGGTCCCTTGGACTCCAGCCTTGGGGATTCCTTAGATCCCAGCCTGGGGGATTACTTGGATCCCAAATTTGGGGGTCCCTTGGATCCCAACCTTGGGGATCCCTTGTGTTCCAACCTTGGGGATCCCTTGTGTTCCAACCTTGGGGATCCCTTGTGTTCCAGCCTTGGGGGTCCCTTGGGCTCCAGCCCTGGGGAATCTCTTAGGTTCCATCTTTGGGGTGCCCACCTTGGTTTCAGGTAAAAAGCAGCAATAAGAGAAGTGCTCTGGAGCACCTGCAGCCCTTCCCTGACCGAGGGCAGGGTGTGAGCTCCTGGCACCCCCTCATCCCTGCACCCAGCCCATTTTATCACTAACACAGGGCCGCACACCTGGTCCTGTCCAGCCTTATTACAGGGTTGGGGTTTGTCTCTGCAGCAGGGAGAGGTGACCTGCTCAGGATAATTCTCCCTCCCACACCCCGCTCAGATCTCAGTGACTTTCAAGCTGCTTCAGTTTAACAAACAAGCTGAAAAAAACTTCCAGCAGAGATGCAGATTCCTAAACAGCAAACGTCCAATTCCTGGAATGGCCTTGCTCTTTCTCAGCTGTCCTTTGCAGCTCCTTTTCATCCTCCACAGAGCTCCAAGTGAAAAGCCAGTCTGGTGAAGCGATTTTCTTGAAATTGGGGAATATTTCTTGCTAATCCTGTCTGTCTCAGATCAGAAATCTGGGCTGGCAGCCCTGCAGCTCCCAGCTGGGATTAAGGCAGGCCAGGGCTGGCTGTGCTGAGGTGCCTCATGCTCACCCCAACGAGGATGCTGCTCGGAGGGTGCCCTGCTCTGGGTGCACCGGGACCTTTAAGACTTATCTTCTTTCTGCGATTTTGACTGAATCTCTCCAGCTGTAATTAATTGAATGCATCTGTTCTAACCCTGGGGCTGCTTTATGGCACAGTTACTTCAAAACTGTTCAATTAGTGGCCACTAAAATCTAGGTCGAGTGGAGCTCCATATTGGGGATTTTCCAGGTCAGGACATTTTTAAAATACAGCATCAGCTGGGCTTTGTTCAGGGAGGCCTCCCAGCCCTGCTGCTCCTGCTCAGCTCAGGAAATGGCAAGCAGTGACTTCTTTTTGTTTGAGCGGTGATGAGACAACGAGACAGCGGAGTAAGTGCCCCAGCAAATGCATTTTAACATCATCCAGAGCTGCAGAGGACAGTTGTAACTGTCAGCCAAGTTCAGGTGATTCCCCAGCAGTGATGTAAACACCACCAGGCCTCCAGGACTCGGTGTAACACAACCCAGCTTGGTTTTGTAGTGGGTTTATGAGCACTTCCCAGAGCTAAATGGTACAAGACAGGCCATGGTGTGAGTTACAGGGAACAGCAGCACAACAGGCACTGCGTGGTGAATAAATTAAAATCCTCCAGCAGGCAGTGGAGGGGAGAGGGAGGTGGGAATTAAAGGATGTGGAGGAAGGAGGGGGTGGCTTGGTGAGTGCATGGAGCCAGAATAACCTCAGCAAAAATGTGTGGCAAAAAACGGGGCAGAATGCCCAGGGAAGTGCTGCGGTCACCCTGGCAGTGCTCAAAAACCACCATGTGGCCATTGGTTTAGTGGGGATGGTGGGATTAATTCTTGGAGATCTTGGGTGTCATGTTGGAGGTGGTTTGGGGAACTGGGAAGCACAGAACTGGGAAACCATTGGTTTAGTGGGGATGGTGGGATTAATTCTTGAAGATCTTGGCTGTCTTTCTGGAGATGCTTTGGGGAACTGAGAAGCACAGAAGTGATGGGGACAGGGGTGTTCCATAAGGGCTGCTGTGGGGCAGGTCACTGGGGTGGTGGCACTGGTGTTTGGCCATATTCCTCACCCCCGAGGAGGTGGAAAAACCCACCCTTCCATCTGGAAACAGCAGGAAAAAGGCTCTGAAGAGCTCAAGCTTTTTTGCCAAAGACAAGGGTGGAACAAAGAAGCATAAACAAGATTTATCCATTAAATTAATTAAATTGCATTATTATGGATTGTGTTTATTTATTAATAACTGCAGCACAGGGAAGATGAGAAACTCACCCAAGAGCAACAACAGAGCAGTGGCAGATTCAGGATAACAGTCTGAGAGTCCTGGGTCCAAATTTTGTGACCATGCATTATTGAAATTTATACTCCTAATTGAAGAGGAGATTGTCCTTAATGCAAGTCCAGGGAAGCAGGGATGATTATGGCTGAGGCAGGCCATAAACAGGCAGCTTGAAAGCACACACCTCACCCTTTAGCATTTTTAAGTCATTTGAGGTGCCAAGTCACTAATAAAATGTGACATTAACATTCAGAGAACAGCCAAGGCAGAAGGCAAAGTTCTCCAAGCACCAGGCTGCTTCTGGAAGGTGACTTACCTGTTCTGGATGGAGACAGGAGCCAGGTGTGTCCTACAAGGATGTCTGGGAATGGCACTGCCCACTCTTCCTGGCCAGCTCAGGGACCTCAGAGTCCTCTCTTGGAGCAGGGCATGGATGGATTTCAGCATCCTTGGGCTCCTCCAGGACACCCAGAAGAGCCATGAGGGGTGGCCCTGGCTTGTCTGGCAGCAGGAGAGATTCCAAACCAGGGATGGAGCTGAACAAGGGGCCTGGTGGGGATGTCACTGTCACTGTGATATTTTATGAAAATCCTTTCACTAGGACTTTTCTCCTGAGTAGCTGAGAAGCCTCAGAAAAGCAATGTAAACAATAATGATCTGATTGCTTGGAATGTGCTCTGGAGGTTGCTCACCAACAGGTGCATCTTTGATTGGTTCCATGTGAATTGTTTTTCCTTAATGACCAATCCCAGTCCAGCTGTGGCAGACTCTCTGGTCAAGTCACAAGATTTCATTATTCATTCCTTTCCAGCCTTCTGATGAAAGCCTTTCCCTCTATTCCTTTTAGTATAGTTTTAATATATCGATATGATATATGATATGATATGATATGATGATATGATATTATTGATATGATATAGTATGATATCATATGGTATGATATATAATATAATATAATATAATATAATATAATATAATATAATATATCAGCCTTCTGTAACATGGAGTCAAGATTCTCACCTCGTCCTGGGGAGCCTCCATCACCACCCCACGTCCCCTCACCCTGTGCTGTCTCCCTGCAGATCCTGACGGTGTCGGGGCCCCCGGAAGGAGGGACCAGGGTGACCATCCGTGGGGTGAACCTGGGCCTGGACTTCTCTGAGATCGCTCAGGGCGTGCAGGTGGCCGGGGTGCAGTGCACGCCCCTGCCCGAGCACTACGTGGTGGCCGAGCAGTGAGTGTCCCCTCACCTGTCCCCTGCCCTGTCCCCTGCCCTGTCCCCTCACCTGTCCCCTACCCTGTCCCCTGCCCTGTCCCCGGGGCTGGGCACCCCCCAGGGCTCCTCCTTTTAGCTTGGCTGGGGGTTATTTAAAGACATGAATGGGATGGGGCTGCTGAGGAACACGCCTCGAGCTGGTTAATTTTCCAGCATGAGTCTCATTCCATGGTTATGACAATGGGAAGATGCCAGCAGCTCACATCCCAGGCAGCAGACACAGAACTTAATGTTATAACTCACTTTGTAAGCTTCTTGACCAATCACACAAAGCAAAAGCACACTGACAGTATTTATGTCTGTGTAGTATATATTCTATATTGACAGTAGTTCTATCCAACCACTATAAGCACACATACCTTTGGTTAAAACAATGCTTGCTTATTTCCAATACAATACCTGCTTGTGAGCCTTCAAACACAACAGAGCTCCATTATTAAGCTTTAACCTTCTCAATATGTTGCTAGATAAACTTTCTGTAGCTTAGAGAGCTATTCAGACAAGCGTTAATACACAGACCCTTGTTCTATTTGCTTTTGCTTTTCTGCAGTTTAAATACTTTTACTGCTGACCAATCTCGTGGCTGCTGCCTAGCTCTGCTCACAGCTCTGCTGTCTCTGAGGCCTGCATCTTGCAGCTTTCTCAAAACCCTATAATTTTGTAGATTCCCACACCCCCTGACCTCCAGCCAACGCTCAGGAGGCCAAAACCTCACCGGGAAGGGCTGTGGAGGTGGGCATGGGAAGGGATTCCTGCCCATTCCCGCACATCCCCGCACTCTGCACTCTCTCTGCAGGGGTTAAGCAGCGCTTTGAGTTGCATTAAACGTTCTGTTTCCTTGCACACCAGTTCCTGCTTGGCTAAGCACCTTTGCTGATGAGCACCTTGCTGCTGCTGCTGCCTCCCCATCCATCCCGCTTGGGATTCCGCCGGCGCCCGGGCTGCAGCAGCCATTTGTTAGGCGGGCGAGGCGCTGACAGCCCCGCGCTCCGAGCGGGCTCCCCTGCAGTCAATCCATTTGTTTCACTGAGAAAAATGTCAGCCCCAAATTGGAAAACAGGCCTGGAACAGGGGCCGGGCAAATGAACCCCACGGCAGCGTGGCAGCCGCTCCTCTGCTGCGCCTCGGGGCTGGGCTGGGGGGGCTCAGGGGGTGTTTGGGGACACATCTGTGCTGGGTGGGACAGCAGAAACAGGTGATGTGTCCCCTTGGGTTGTGTCATCTCCTGCTGGGACCAGCATGGTGGCCTGTGCAGTAGGGCTGTGAGTGTGGAGCTGGCCAAGGTCCCATGGGCGCTCCCAGCAGCACAGATCTGCCCCAGCTTCATCCTCTGTGGGGAAATCCATTTTCCTCTGCGGGGAAATCCGTTTTCCTCTCCTGGGAAATGCATTTGGTGGCTCCCAGTCAGACCCCAGCAGGCCCAGGACCTGTCACCAGCAGCACATGGTGGTGTTGGTTGGGTTTTGTCCATTCCTGGTGTTTCTTTGCCCATCTGTGAGGCAGCAGGGGCATTGCTGACCCCTCTGGAGCAGCGAGGGGCAGTGCAGATGGAATTTGGGATCACAGGGTGAAGGATGCCTGGGGCTGCTGCAGGAATGGCACCAATACCCCATCACTGCGAGCAGTTGGGGCTGTTCTGCTGAGCAGTACGTTGTTATATTTTATTTTTCAAATAAAGGATGGAAGATTATGAAATTATCCCCCTTTGATGGTATGAAACCCTGATTTTATAATCATGACTCTAATTACGGCTCTTGAGCTTTCAAAGTTTGTTAACATCATTAAAACATTTACCCTGGGCAGATAACAGCAAGCGTTAGCATGAGAGCTGCCTTTTAAAGATGAATACAGATAAAAGGACCCTCTTAAGGCTTCTGTGGGCAGACTGAATTCCAGGACTGTAATGACTCTGCCATATGCTCCAGCCCCGCCATCTATCAGCCAGCAATTAGGTTAATGTTGGTGAAAGGGCCACTTAGCCCGGCAATCAGCACCCTACAGCTCTGCCGAATGCATCATTTTGTAACAAGGTACCTGCTGGGGCTTTGGCTCTGAGCAGGGCTGGGCACCAGGTGTGCCCGGTCACTTGTGCCCTGTCCCGCACCCATCCCTGCCCGGGCTGGGCTGGCAGAGCTGAGAGTTTGGTGTTTCCTTGGGCAGAGAGAGCCTCCCCTGTCCTCTGCTGCCCTTGGGGCGCCAGGAGTCACCCCCAGGCTTTGTTTGCTTGGCCCCAAGCTCAGAGTGGGCTCCTCTCCAGGAGGAGGAGGAGGAATGGCGAGAGGTGAAGGAATAACAGGCAGAGAGGTGCAGGGGCGATGTCTGCTTGAAAGGCAGAGCGAGGAGCGCGTGGCAGAGGAAGGCTGGGAGCTGAGAGGCTTCAATCCCTGCTCTCCAAAGGCAGCAGTCTCTCCAGGCAGCCCCTTTTGATGTGCAGCAACGAGGACGTGCACGTTCCAGCTCTTTAGCAGCATGTGTGTATTTCATCAGGCCTCCTGGCATCACCTGTGCACGGCAGCTTCTTTTCTTCCTTCAGTCTTTGTGGTTTATTTTATTTTATTTTGTTTTATTTTATTTTATTTTATTTTATGTTTGCAATGAATTTAATGCTGCTGAAGGCAACTCCCCAAATTGGGGCCTTTTATGTCTTTGTGTGTAATGGGCAGAGGAGGGAGAGCTCCCTTCTCCTTCAGCCTCAGCAGGCAGAGGCTGCTCTGGCTCTCCTCTGGTCCCACTCCCAGGGTCAGATCCCCCCACAGGTGGAACTGCAACTCCTGCCTTCAGCTTTTCCTCCCCGAGGCCAATTTCCCATCTCCAATCCCCCCTCTCTGATTTCCAGGCAGGTTCCTCCCACCCTCAGCCTCCCAGAGCCTGCAGGGATGCTCTCGAATTTACCCTGCCAGCATTGCTGTGGGAGCAAGCAGCATGCAGGTCCATCTGGAGCGCCCTGCCAGCTGATGCCCCTCTGAAAACCTCCCCCAGACCTGCTGGCATGCCTGGCATCCACTTGATCCCGTCCCCAGCTGGTGTCACTCATCCCCTGTGCCCTGGGACTTGGGGGTTATTCATCCTCAGTGAGCAGCCATGGGCAGCCCCGGCAGCTCCCCCTGGCCCTGCAGCTTTGCCCTGAGCTTTTGGGGTTCATCCATCAGTTGTGGTGAACCCCAGCAGCTTTCCCTGGCCCTGCAGCTTTGCCCTGAGCTTTTGGGGTTGTTCATCATCAGTTGTGGTGAACCCCAGCAGCTTTCCCTGGCCCTGCAGCTTTGCCCTGGGCTTTTGGGGTTGTTCATCCCTCAGCTGTGGTGAAACCCAGCAGCTCTCCCTGGCCCTGCAGCTTTCCCAGCCTCAGGATGTGCCCATGGGGCTGAGCTGGACCACACCAGGAGCATGGGGACAAGCTCTGTGACCAGCACCAGTGTGTTTGTGGCAGCCAGCCCTGTTCCCAGCAGAAGCTGCTCTCCAGGGCTGTCTCTATCATCCCCCAGCAGGTTTCTCCTGCAGTTGTGATTAACTGGGAGTCTGCAGTGTGAGCTGTTCCCTTAATGAACTCATCTGTTACTCTGAGGACTTCGCACTCACTTTGCTACTGGCTAATATATTGCCATTAGTGCTCTGCTTTGCTCTGGAGTTTACAGCTTGTAATAATTATGTCTAATTTTGATTTTTTTTCCTTTAAATTACTACACGGGGTAAAAATAGACTCAGTAATTAACTCCTTCCAAAGAGGCAGATATCAAAGTTAAAGAGGAGATGGGGGGGAGAAAGGAGAAATAATGGCAGCGTGGAGCTGAGCAGGGCACTGCTGGCACCTCCTGCCAAAGCTCCACTGAGGCATTTGTGCTTCCAGGATCGTCTGTGAAATGGGGCAGGCGCTTCCAGGGATCAGCTCCGGCCCAGTGCTCCTGTGCATCGGAGAGTGCAAGCCCGAGTTCACGGCCAAGTCAGCGCAGCAGTACGTGTTCGTGGTGAGTGTCCTGCTGGGGACAGCACGGGCTGGGGCTGGCACACAGAGGGGCTCCAGCTCCACAGGAATTGCTGGGGTTTTCTGGGGCTTTTCCCCTGGGTTTGCTCAGTTTTTGGTGCCCGAGTTGACGGCCAAGTCAGTTCATTACTACATGTTTGTGGTGAGTGTCCTGCTGGGGTCAGCACGTGTGTCCCTGGAGCTGAGCCTGGCACGCAGAGGGGCTCCAGCTCCAGATTACAGTCCTGGAATTGCTCAGTTTTTTCCTGGGGCTTTCCCCCTGGTGTTGCTCAGTTTTTGGTGGCTCTCTCAACAAGCACAGCCTGCAGGATGGAGAGCTCACCCTGTGGATAAACCAGGGCTCCCACAGTGTTTGGATGCAGCTTTGCACCCCCAGAGCAGTGATTATGGAATCACAGATTGGTTTGGGTTGGGAGGGGATCCTCAAAGACCCTGTCATGGGCAGGACACCTTCCACTATCCCAGGCTGCTCCAAGCCCCGTCCAGCCTGGCCTTGGGCACTTCAGGGATGTCGTGGCCTGTCCCGGCCCCCAGAGCAGCTCCCTGGCTGCAGCAGGGGCCCTGAGCTCTCCTTTCCTCCCTGCAGACCCCAGCTGTGAGTTTCCTGAGCCCCGGCCGCGGCCCGGAGTCGGGAGGGACCATGGTGACCATCTCTGGCCAGCACCTGGGCGCCGGCAGCCGCGTCTCCGTGCTCCTGGGGAACCAGACCTGCGAGTTCCTGCAGTAAGAGACACCACAGGCTCCCGCAGCTCCCGTCCCAGCACGGATCTGCTGGAGCTGAACGTGCAAAAATCCATCTGGGAAGCCCCTGAGGCTCCAGCCTTCATTGCATGAAACCGTCCTCTCTTTTATTGTGATGGAGGCTTGCATGGCCAGGGAGGGATTCGTCAGTGTCAGTGCTGTTCATTATTTCATTTTAATGCTGTTCCAGTGGTAGCTGCTCAGAAAATCATAGTGAAACACCACTGGGATGGAAATGTGCTTATATTGGTCGCCAGTACCTGCCCCCAGCCTGGCTGCTCTGAAGAAAATGGAACATTTATATGAAATAGCTCCTTTCTCTTTCCACAGACCTGCATTGATTTTATTGTAGCCACTGCTGCAGGTGCCTCCAACTCCTAAAAATGGTCAGGGATCCTCAGGGCAGAGCAAGGCGAGGGTCTGCTCGCACCTCCTGCTGAGGAACTTGCACTGCCATCAGTCTCTGCTGGGATTTCCATGGCAAATTTGCTTTTTCCCCAGCAGTGTAAACACAGAGTTGACATTTGCAGGGTTTAATGGGTTTTCCTGGGGCTTAGTTAAAAAAGAGATGTGTGGTTTACATCTGTGTGTATCAGTACACAGCCCTGCCCACCCTGCTGGGGTGGGCACAGCCTGGCACCCAAAGGGATTCTGCCTCCCAGATCCTCACCCAGGAGGAGCTGAGGAAGTTTCTGGGAAAGCAGAGATCCCTGGAGGTGAATTTCTCATCCAAAAGCCTGAGAAGTTCTCGGATATGGGAGCTGTGGGTGCTCAGGAGTGGGAGCACATTGGGTTATCAGGAGTGGGAGCACATTGGGTTATCAGCAGGGCTTGCTCTGGATCCATCCCAGGATGGTGCTCAGGGCATTCCAGAACCTTCCAGCGCAGCTCAGCCCTCCAGGTGTTGAGCAGTGTAACCAACCCATCAATATTTCCTCCCACATCCCAAACAAAGATGCCAAATTGCTGCCTCAGGTGGAGACAGGCAACAGCAGAGGTGTGGGGCCAGCCCTGGAATATCATCCTGGAATATCATCCCTTAAACAAACCCCTGATCCTGTTCAGGCAACCTGCAGCTCCTGACCTGCAAAACCTGGAGGGGTTTTGGGTTCCCTGGGAGTTCTGATGGCAGCAGGACAGAAATTTCAGCCAGGGAGCAGTGGCTGAGTGCCCCATCCTCACTGGGGCCATGCCTGGGACTGCTCTGAGGCAATGAACTCCAATTGTACTCCAGGGCATGGGGGAGCCTGATGAGATGAAGCAGCTCCTAATGAGATTCCCTCTAATTACAGCTTCCCCCATTCTCCCCTCTCTGATCCGAGGAGTGGGCAGATTCACCATGACGACACAATAATAGCACAGAAAGCTAATTAGCCGATCACAGGGAGCTGGGAGCTGCTTTGCCAGCAGCCCTGCATCACTGCCAGCCCGTGCCAGAGCTGGGCAGGCACGGGGTGGGCAGCAGCAGGCAGGGCAGAGGGCAGCAGCAGGGCAGGAACCCGCCAGGCTGCACAGAATCACTCTGAGAGACAGCTCAGAGCCTGGAGAATCCCACTCCTCACACGAGGAAGCCTTTGTGGCTAAATTAAACAAGGTGGATGTGATAAAACCAAATGGAGATGGGAAAAGGAGCAGCAGCAGGGCAGGAAGGGGTGGATGTGTTATTGCATCAGCAGCAATGGTCAGTGCAGTTGGTTTGAGGGGTTTCAGGGGGTTGTTTCAGAGGGATGTTTGAGGTGTTTCAGGGGTGGTTTGAGGTGTTTCAGGGGTGGTTGGGGGTGTTTCAGGGGGCTATTTGAGGCGTTTCAGGGGATTCTTTCTGTCCCCTCGGATGTGGAGGGTGGAGGGGCTGAGGTGTGAGCTGGGAACTTTGTGGTGCCTGCTGCTCCATGCCCTCCTGAGTGCCCATTAGAGAGGGCAAGGGGTGTGTAAGGACCCCGAGAAGGGACCTTGTCCCCCTGGCTCACAGCTTTGCTGGGAACAGAGCAGGGACGCGGCTGCACCTGAGCCTCAGCCTCCCAGGCACCTCCACAGCCCCTGAGGATGGTGAGGGTGGTGAAGGTCGCCCATTCGGGTTCTGATTTAAGCAGCAGACTGGCACTGAGGTGCTGCAGACCTGCCTGCCCTCTGCCCAGGGGGAACCAAACTAAAGGAGCCACAGAAAGAACAGTGACTTTCCAGCGAGCCAGGGTCGGTTTGAGCAGCAAGGACAGCCAGAGGTGGCCGTGCAGGATGTGACAGAGATGTGCCTCCAGCACTTTTTGTAGCATCAGTGACCACGGAGCCGGGAACAGATCTGTTCTGGATGCTCAGATCCCATTCCCCTTCCCCATCCCTCCACCCACCGGCGCCTTTGTGCTGTGGCAGTGCCTCCCTGTGTCACTGCCTGCCCCTTCTCTGGGCCCTGGTGGCAGCAGATGGTCTGTTGTGTCCAGCCAGGCAGCGCCGGGCCGGGGTCACCCCGCTTTGGGGGAGACAAAGCCGAGGCAGCTCTGCCAGTGCCACAGCCCTGCCCAGGCAGGGGCTGCTCATTGTGCCGCTCACAGAGCCTCGTGTGTGTGCTCTGGGCTGGGGAGGGGAGGAATTTGGCTTTTCACTGAGCTCATGCATCCCATTGAAAAGGCAGCCATCTGCTTTCACACGCCCAGCAGACGGCAGCGGCTTCGGGGGGATGTGGGAGCTGCAGCTTGGCACAAAGAGGGATTTCAGGGGGGCTGTGCTGCTCCCACCATGGGCACAGCTCAGGGCACGGCTCCCACCTTCCCTTCCGTGCCAAACCCTCCTGCCCACCTCTGCAGCTCCCCAGGTACCAGTCTGGTGCTGGCTGTAGGCTCAGCCCTTTCTGGGCTGCCCTTGGACAGGACCAAGGCTGTTTCCTGCCCCTACACCACTGTGAAAAGTGCATGTTATATGGCTCTATGCAGATATTTACTCTATGTATTTTGTTGTATTGATTAGTAGTGCTGTATTAACATTTTAATAGTGTGATAAATGTGGTTTTGTAGTTAAAAAGGTAATTTTTGTGGTTAAAATAGGAACTATGTAAGTGGGATATTTTTTTAAGAAAGGAATGAGCCACAGGACTTTCCACATCCACCACCCCATTAACCCTGCCCGTTTCCCTCCTGTGCAGGCGATCCATGAACGAGATTGTTTGTGTGTCAGCACCCTCAGCCCACGGCCTGGGGGCTGTTCAGGTCTCTGTCAGCGTGGACAGGGCTCAGCTGGAGAGGACTTTGCTGTTTGAGTACATCGACGACCCCAAGGTGCAGCACATCGAGCCCGAGTGGAGCATCACCAGGTAAAGCAGCACCTCCTTGGCTCTCCCCTGCCCTGGAGCTCCTCAGCACCAAAAAAGGAGTGTTTGGGAATGCACATCCCTCCCAGCATCCTGAACAGGTCAGGGCTGGGCATTCCTGGGTTTGCATTTAGCACAGATTGGGTCTGGGGTTACAGGGAGGCTGTGTCCAGCCAGGCAGCCACAGCAGACCCTGCACCAGGGGTTGGGGGCTCAACCAAAGCCCAGATCACCCCCTCTGCTGCACAAGGGCACAACTGCTCCTTAGAGGCTCCTCTTGTGGTCCTGGAACACCACAAGGCCACCTGGAAAGGAAAGAGCTGATGTTGATCAAAGGGAGTGTGGGGGCCAGGGCGGCTGCTGCTGTCACACCACGGGGACACTGCTGAAAGCCCTGGGCTGTACCCATCCTCCTAACCCTGCTGGCATGCTGTCCCTGGGGCCCAGCCCAGCCCTGATCAGCCTCTCCTGCCTTCCCACAGCGGCCACACGCCCCTGACTGTCACCGGCTCCAACCTGGACGTGATCCAGGAGCCGCGGATCCGCGCCAAGCACAACGGCAAGGAGTTCATCAACGTGAGTAGGGGCTGGAGCTGGGCGGGGAGCATCATCCTGCACCCTGCACGGGGCACTGCTGCCTCCTGCACCCTGCATGGGCACTGCTGCCAGCTGGGAGCATCACCCTGCATGGGGCACTGCTGCCCGGGCTGCCTCCCTGGGCAGGTCTGACACAGCAAAAGCTGCTCTGGAGGGATTTCCTACACTCCCCCAAGCTGAGGGCACTGGGAAGAGGGAGTTTGACACACAAAATGTGAGATTATCTCCTTCCTCTGTCTGTGTCAGTGATGAGTGAGAACCTGATGTGAACCCCCAGCTAAATGGCGACTGAGCGAGGTTCTTGTGTGTAAGAATTGAACCTCCAGGATTTCAGAAATTATTCCGGCCAAGTAAAGCTGAAATATATTGTTTCTATGCAGTGATCTTTGTGGCTGAGTCTGCCCCCCAAGCTGGGGGCACTGGGAAGAGGGAATTTGACACAGAAAAATGTGAAATTATCTCCTTCCCCTGTCTGTATTCTTACAGTCCATGAATGAGAAGCTGAGATGAACCCCCAGCTAAATGGGGACTAAGAAAGGTTCTTGTGTGTAAGAATTGAACCTCCAGGATTTCAGAAATTGTTCTGGCCAAGTAAAGCTGAAATATATTGTTTCTATGCAGTGATCTTTGTGACTGAGTCTGTATTCTTTTGGAAAGGGCAAATCACTGAGAGGTCTTTTCCTATTCCTTTTCTCCCCCTCAAGACCTTTTTTCATCCGAGCTCTTTTTAAAAAGACATCTAATTTTGTTGCTAGCACTTGCAGTTACAGTGCTACAAAAATAATTCTGAAGACACAAAATTGAGTGAAATTAAATCTTTCAGTTATGGAGAGAGGCCAAATGGTTGGGCTCTTGCTGCTTTCCAAGGCAAGAGCCCCATAAATCAGTGATTTCCCTGCTCTGAGGGCTGCAGGAGCTGTGGGTGTCCTCAGCCCAGCAGGAGATGACCTTCGCGTTCCCTCCTGCCCACCAGTGTCACATGCTCTGTTCCCTTCCCTCGCTGGCATTTGGGAATGGCCTCTAATCACCCATTTGCAGCAGGGAGCTGGTATTCCCTATGGGTCTGCTTCAGAGCTGCAGAGGAGGAAAGTGGAAAGAAATGGGAAAAAAATAAAGAAAAATGAGCGAGAGCTGCTGTCTGAGCCTTTAGCTACACTGAAACACGGCTCATTTCGGGCTCACCCTCCATCTCCACCCCAGCACCTTCGTGCTGGCTGGAGGAGAAGCAAATTACCCCAAATCATGGCGGTAATGCTTCATGGAATCAGCGAGGCTGGAAAAGACCTCTGAGACCACGGAGCATCAGGCCTGGATCAAACGCTCCCGGCTAAGCATGAACCCACTGGGCTTCCCATCCTCCAGAGCATCAGGGTCCAGCTCAGGGCAGTGTTCCCTGCTGAAACCACCCTCTTCCCCAGGTGTGCAAGGTGCTGAGTGCCACAGGTGTGGCCTGCCTGGTCCAGCTCAGGGCAGGGCGTTCCTTGCTGAAATTCCCCTTTCCCCGGGTGTGCAAGGTGGTGCTCAGGGCAGAGTGTTCCCTGCTGAAATTCTCCTTCCTCAGGTGTGCAGGGTGCTGAACTCCATGGCCCCAGCTCAGGGCTGTGTTTTCCCTGCTGTTTCCCTTTCCCCAGGTGTGCAAGGTGCTGAACTCCACGGCCCTGGCCTGCCTGGCTCCCCCATTGACGGCCGAGTACCGCCCGGGGCTGGACGCCGTGGAGCGCCCGGACGAGTTCGGCTTCATCTTCAACAACGTCCAGTCCCTGCTGCTCTACAACGACACCAAGTTCATCTACTACCCCGACCCCACCTTCGAAATGCTGAGCTCCACCGGGGTGCTGGAGCAGAAGCCGGGCTCTCCCATCATCCTGAAGGTAAGGAGAGCCTGCCTCAGCCTTGGGGAGCCCCAAAACCCCAGGGCCGCGGAGTTTGGGGTGCCCTAAACAGAGCCCCGCTGTTTGCACGAGCTGGGAGCTGGAGGGACGTGCTGCATCTCTGTCGGTGTTGTGTCCCCGTGTCCCCAGGGCAGGAACCTGTGCCCACCCGCCCCGGGAGGAGCCAAGCTCAACTACACGGTGCTGATCGGGGAGACGCCCTGCGCCGTCACCGTGTCCGAGACGCAGCTGCTGTGCGAGCCCCCCACCCTCAGCGGGCAGCACAGAGTGATGGTGAGGGGCTGCATGTCCTGGCAGCATCCCCTTCCCCCTCCTCATCACCCTTCATCCTCCTCCAGCATCCCCTTCCCTCTCCTCATCACCCTTCATCCTCCTCCAGCATCCCCTTCCCTCTCCTCATCACCCTTCATCCTCCTCCAGCATCCCCTTCCCTCTCCTCATCACCCTTCATCCTCCTCCAGCATCCCCTTCCCCCTCCTCATCACCCTTCATCCTCCTCCAGCATCCCCTTCCCTCTCCTCATCACCCTTCATCCTCCTCCAGCATCCCCTTCCCTCTCCTCCCCACCTTTCTCCTCCTTCTCCAGCTCCCTGACTCACTTCAATCCACAATCCCCAGCAGGATTTTCCATTTTATGGGTGTCTGATTGGAAATTTAAAATATTGGTGTGGATTAGCATGCAGAGACTTTGTCCTTCCCTCAGAGTCACTCCCTTCTAGAAGGAAAAATGCCCCTCAGAGCCTTCTAGAAGGAACAAATCTTCCTGGCAGTGCCTTTGGCACCGGGTGCCATCCTTGCTGTGGATGAAGTTGAGAGCATTCCCAGTGTTCTCCCTCCTGGAGGGGTTAATCAGCCACAGAGACAGGCCTGAGGTGCCAAATGCATGGAAAGGTTTTGTCTTTTCCCGAATCAGGAGCCAGGAACATCTGAACCCTGGAGTGGTTGGATCAACCCCCTCATCCAGGATAACCCTCAGTGCCTCCCTCTGCTCAGGGTTTGGGCATTGCTGCTTCCTCTGCTGCTCCTGCAGACCAAGCCCCAGCTGCCGAGCTGCCTGAGCAGAGCCCAAATGAGATTGCAATTGTGATTTATTTCCCTTGAAGTTCAGCATCCAAAACATATTCAGATTATCACAGTGTGACTCCCAGCAGCCTAACCTGGCTGAGAGCTGCTCACATCTGCGGCCAGGGCACGTCCAAGAAAAGCCTGTCCTGGTGTCAACTCCAGCCTGTTTGCTCTCACGTGGGGCTTTCTGCTCCCTTCCCTGCTCTGCCCTTGCAGTCACTCTGGTTTCTTGTCAGTGGAATGATCAGGGGCTTGTTAACGTCCGCGGCTTACGAAAAGGAGTTGAAAGCTTATAAAATGAAAGTCAAATGGAGCCATCAGATAATAAGAACAAAGCCCAGATAGTGAAGGGCTGGCACATTTATCATCACTTGAAGCCTCCCTGTGCTCTCACAAGCAGCCCCCTCTGTGTTTGAAGGCAATTGGGGTTTTCTGTTCTGTGCAGAGGTGGCTCGGTGCTTCCCCAGGGACCTGCAGGGCCCTGGGGTGGGCAGGACAGGCTTTGGCACAGGGGCACGGCCCGAGCTGCTCTCAGTGTGCTCTGTGCCCTGCAGGTGCGTGTTGGGGGCGTCACCTTCTCCCCAGGCTCGGTGAGCATCGTGTCTGACAGCCTGCTGACCCTGCCCGCCATCGTCAGCATCGCGGCCGGCGGCTCCCTGCTCCTCATCATCGTCATCATCGTCCTCATCGCCTACAAGCGCAAGTCCCGCGAGAACGACCTCACCCTCAAGAGGCTGCAGATGCAGATGGACAACCTGGAGTCCCGGGTGGCCCTGGAGTGCAAGGAGGGTCAGTGCTGCTGGGGCTGGGGGGCCCTGGGGGCTGCACATCCATGGGGGGGTCCCTGTTCTCCCAGTACCCCAAGGCATGCAGGGGGGAGCTCCTTGGGGTTTGTGGGTGCTCCTTGGATTTTTTGTGGGGTTTTTTGTGGGGCTTTTTTGTTGGTTTTTTGTGGGATTTTGTGGGGTTTTGTGGGGTTTTTTGTGGGTTTTTTGTGGTTTTTTGTGGGTTTTTTATGGGTTTTTGTGATTTTTTTTGTGCTTTTTTGTGGGTTTTTTGTGGGTTTTTGGTGGGGATTTTTTGTGGGTTTTTTTTGTGGTTTTTTGTGGGTTTTTGGTGGGGTTTTTTTGTGGGTATTTTTGTGGTTTTTTGTGGGTTTTTGGTGGGGTTTTTTTGTGGGTTTTTTTGTGGTTTTTGTGGGATTTTTTGAGGTTTCCATTCCTGCCCCACCATGGGAGGGTGGCAGCCCGCAGTGTGAGCATCAGACATGGCTCTGATGTGCAGAGAGTGGGATTAGAGCTTGATGCTGCTTAGGCACCTTGCCTGAATTTTGGGTGTTATTTGGAGTACCCAGAGCTGCTGCTTGAGAGTTTCCACATGGGCGAGTCCTGTGCCTTGCAAGGAGGCAGCTGAGCCTCCTCACCCCACAGGGGAAGGGGGATTTTTGGGAGGTGCTGCTGTTGTTTCCTGTTCCTCCCACCTGGGAAGGGGCTTAATCAAAATAAAATTAATGACTGCACATTTCATAGTGGAGAGAGAGAATTGTATTGGATTTGTTCAGCTGATTTCAAGGGTAGCCTTGAAAGCACAGGGCAAAAATTGAGATGTATTCAGGAGAAGGCACAGATTCAGCTTGGCACAGCCCAGCTGGGGTACAGAGGCTTCCTGAGCCAGCGTGTCACACTTTGGAGAGGGAACAGGAGGAGACACATCCAGCTGTACAACACCGTGTTAGGAGAGGGAAAATAAATCCCTTCCTGACCCCTGCTGCAGCTCAGATCTGATCTGCATCAGATTTGATTATCTTGCCAACTGTTGATAGAGGAGGAAAACAAGAAGAAAGGAAAACAGGGGAGGCAGCAAGTTATGAAAACAGATCCTTGCTTCCCTGCGCAGCCTTTAAAGGGGTTTTAGGTGTGTGTGCACAGGTGTGAACTGCATACAAATGAACCACAGCTTTGTTCTCAGTCTCTGCTCCGAGCACAGCCTGCTCTGCCACCCTGGGCTGCTGAGATGGAGCCTCCAGGGGTGTCTGAGCTTGTTGGGGCTGGTCTTGTTGGCAGTGTGGGGTTCAGACATAGGTTGCATTTGATTATCTCAGGGGTCTTTTCTGACCTGAACCTTCCCTGAGCTGCCTTGCCCATGGGGAGAGCACCCATCCAGCCCTGCCCAGAGCCCCCTGGAGCTGAGCCCTGCCCTGTTCTCTCTCCCTGCACAGCCTTTGCAGAGCTGCAGACGGACATCAACGAGCTGACCAGCGACCTGGACCGCTCGGGCATCCCCTACCTGGATTACCGCACCTACGCCATGCGCGTGCTGTTCCCGGGCATCGAGGACCACCCGGTGCTGAGGGAGCTGGAGGTAACCAACACCCACCCTGCCCTGCCCCAGCTCCCCTGGCTCCACCTGAGCCCTCAGGGAGCCCTGCAGCACCCTCAGGGCTCCACACTGTGACGGTGGTCACAGGGGTCTTTGGATGAGGGAAGAGATGAGGATTTGACTCCATGTTTCAGAAGGCGTGATTTATTATTTTATGATATATATTACATTAAAACTATACTAAAAGAATAGAAGAAAAAGTTCTCAGAAGACTAGCTAAGCAAAGAATAGAAAGGAAGGAATGATAACAAAGGTTTGTGGCTCGGACACTGTGTCCAAGCCAGCTAGGCTGTGATTGGCCATTAATTCCAAACAACCACATGAGACCAATCGCAGATGCACCTGTTGCATTCCACAGCAGCAGATAATCATTGTTTGCATTTTGTCCCTGAGGCCTCCCAGCTTCTCAGGAGGAAAAAAATCCTAAGGAAAGATTTCTCATAAAAAGATGTCCGTGACACCACACACAGAGGTGTGATCCAGCTTCATGGGATGCTACAACTCCCTTTTTCTCTCTTACTCCCCTATGGGCTTCTGCATACACTTAACTAGACAGGGAACATGATTAGGAGTATAAAAAAAATTATTATAATCTAAAAAATTCCCCTGACAAAAGATACAACCCATCCTGTGCACCAGTTATTGGATGCCCTGGGGTCAGCAGGGTTCATTTTAACTCCCAGCCTGGAGTTTTATCTCCTCCCACATCGCCGGATTCCTTTCAGCTTCTCCTCCCTGGTGTTGGTTTATTTTTATTTTATGGGGTTGTATATCGCTCTAGGGCAGCAGCAGAGCAGGGCAGAGCATTTGTGGTGTGTTTGAAGGGCTCCAAAGTCACCTGGCGAGGCAGGGGATGGGTGAGAGCCCCGAGCATCCTGCCCGGAGCATCCTGCTGCTGTTCCCTCGCGTGTCCACAGGAGGGCAAGGAGAATGCCCAGGCATCCCAGCCTCCGAGCAAGCGCTTGCATCTCCCTGGATTTCCCACCAGGATGTGTAAAAATACACAAAAAACTTTCACTGGGAATACGGAAGAATGAGGAGGGCACAGGCGTCCATCAGTGCACCTGGCAGATTGGCCCTGCTCACCTGGGAGGGGGCCAGAATAGGGATAGGGGGTCATAAACATCACCTCACACCTGGGATGGGGCTGTGATGCCCACCCTGGGATGGAGCCGCCATCCTCCCTGTGGCATGTGCAGAGGCTCAGCTCAGCTTTTCAGGCACTGGGATTGCCCCAGTAAATCCTGAAATTCCGTTTCCCCCACACAGACCAGGGATGGGTTAGGAGGGAGGAGTCCTGGTTTCTTTAGGGCTGGATTCCTTTAACCAGGCAGGCTTTCCCCACCACTAAAGCATTAATTTGGGTTTCTTTCCTCAGCCACCAGCACCCAGCAGTTGCTGTGGTGTTGCTAAAACAGGAGCAGCCTCTCCCAGCCCGTTCCTGCTCCGAGTTCTCCAGCTCCATGCATTATGTTTGCTGTTGGAGTTGCCAGAGAAGCTGGCACTCCAGCAAACAAATATGAATTTGCTTTTTGTTTTTTTACTCGTGAAAAACAGAATTGCAGAAGTGATAAATGTGTTGCCAATTACACAGTTGCTTAATTATGTAACGTTAGTAAAACCAATAGATAACTCTCCAAGATGTTTGGTGAAGAGTTGCTTCGTGCAGTTCATCATTTTCACTTGTAATGAATTACTTCAATCCGCAACTGGCTGAAAGCCTCAATTAATTTTTTACACTTGGCCCATAATAAAGCAATAGTCTAAATTAGTATTTAATTTACTTAGAAGGGTGTCACTTTTTGTGCAGAACAAGCAGAACTGGGTGTCATTTTTGGGGGCATTAGGTTCCAGGCTGCTGCTTTATGGTGGGCACAGAGTGCAGCTCCCAGCCAGGGCTCAGGGCAGCTGTGGAGGGGGAGATTTGCTCAAAATGCACCAGAAACCACATCCAGGGATGCTGAGATCCTGAGGGTACAGCCAGGGTTAAACCATCCTGATGCCCTCAGTGTGAGAAGGGAGTGGAACTGCAGGAGCATCTCCAGAGTAGGCCAGGAAGTTCCTCAGGAGGCTGGAACAGGTTGGGAGAGTTGGAAATGTTCAGTCTGGAGAAGAGAAAGTTGTGTGGAGACCTCCCAGCACCTTCCAGGTTCTGAAGGGGTGACAGGAGAGCTGGAGTTGGGGCTGTTCATCAGGAACTGCAGGGACAGGACAAGGGAGCATGGATTCAGACTGCCAGAGGGCAGGGTTAGATGGGATCTTGGGAAGAAATTATTCCCTGTGAGAGTGAGAAAGTCCTGGCACAGAGAAGCTGTGGCTGCCCCTGGATCCCTGGAATTGTCCAAGGCCAGGTTGGAGCAGCCTGGGACAGGGTGGGTGGGATGAGCAGATTTTTAATGTCCCTTCCCACAGGTGGCTGGACAGGGTCCCAATGTCCCTTCCCACCCAAACCATCCCCTGATTTTGTGGTTCTCCCAATGCTGGCAGCGCTGCCCCGCTGTCCCTTGTCCCCTCACATTGCATCTGATGGCCACCATCTCCTCCTGCAGGTGCAGGGGAACGGGCAGCAGAGCGTGGAGAAGGCCCTGAAGCTCTTTGCCCAGCTGATCAACAACAAGGTGTTCCTGCTGACCTTCATCCGCACGCTGGAGCTGCAGCGCAGCTTCTCCATGCGCGACCGCGGCAACGTGGCCTCGCTGATCATGACGGGGCTGCAGGGCAAGCTGGAGTACGCCACCGACGTGCTCAAGCAGCTGCTCTCCGACCTCATCGAGAAGAACCTGGAGAACAAGAACCACCCCAAGCTGCTCCTGCGCAGGTGAGGCGGGGCACGGGCAGGGGAGGGGTCCTGCAGGTGTCTGGTGGGGATTTCATGGGGAGTTCAGTCATGGAAAGGGCTGGGAGGGGCTGCCCAGGGAGGTGCTGCAGTGTCTGGAGGGGCTGCAGGTGGGGATTGGACGCAGGTTGGGTTTGATGATCTCAGGGGTCTTTTCTGACCTAAATAATTCCAGGATTCTGTGATCGGAAGGCTCTGGAGGGGCTGGTCTTGTTGACAATGTGGGAATTGGACATAGGTTGGGTTTGATGATCTCAGGGGTCTTTTCTGACATAGATAATTCCAGGATTCTGTGATCTGAGGGCTCTGGAGGGGCTGGTCTTGTTGACAAGGTGGGGATTGGACACAGGTTGGGTTTGATGATCTCAGGAGTTTTTTCCAACCGGAATAATTCCAGGATTCTGTGATCTGAGGGATCCACAGGGTGTTGGAAGGGAGCTGCTGCTCTCCATCCATTCCCTCACCTGTGTCCAGGACGGGGGCTTGGCCCTGCTCTGGGAGTTCACAGGTGGCTGGACAGGGTCTCAGACCAGATCCTCTGGTTCTTCTTGGCATTTTTGTGCCAGATTTATGTGCCACAGCTGGGCCAGGAGCTCAGCACGGATTGAGCAACTCACCCATGGCAGAGCTGGGATGAGCCAGCAAGAAAATGGGGGGAAAATGTGCATTAATGTGGGGCATAACAGTGGGCACAAGGAAAAGGCTGCCCCTGTTCTCCCTGTCCTTGGGGGTCCTGCAGAGCCTGGCCTTGGCCAGTGCTGCCCCCGGGCTGTGCTGGGGCTCTGCTGACATCACACTGGAGAGAGGGGAGGATTTCACAGCTCCAGGAAAATTTCAGGGGTCCCTGCAGCCACAATGAATATACTTGACAGGAAATTGCTTTAAATCTGGCTGTGTTTGCGGAGGCAATAACTCATCTTGGCAAAGGAAGCCGCCTTAATTTCCCCCGTGGTTTGACGAGTCACTGGGAAGGCGTCTTCTGCCTCAGCCATCAATAATGACTTTTCCTGGCGCTCCAAAAAACACAGGGATGGTGATAAGAGCTGTGCCCCCTCCTCCCTGCACAGCCAGCAAGGAGTCGGGGCCGGGGGCTGTCTGTCCTTTGGGCTGTCTGTCCTTTGGGCTGTCTGTCCTGCACCAGGATTTACCCATTGCACAGGAATCACAGGATTGGGCATCTTCCACCAGGATTCCACCAATCCGGGCCAGTGTTTCACCACTCTTATAAAAATTCCTGCTTTATATCCAGTCTGAATCTACTCCCCTTTAGTTTAAAAGCTTCATTCTTTGTCCTGATGCTCCAGGTCCTGTTAAACCTTGGCCTGCAGACCTGTCCCAACCCTGTGCCCAGCCCAGCCTGGAGCTCCTTGCTCTGACTTAATAAGGAGTGATCAGCCATGAAGTGAAACACTATTTTTCAGAATGTTTTGAGCTCTCTGGTGGCAGCAGTTGATAACTGACACTCAGTTCTTTCCCTCTTTTCTTCCTGGCTTTCCCCTCTCTCTTTCTTCCACGACTGCCCCTCGCGGGAGACAGCAAGAAAGTTGACGTTAAATCAAACAGCTGCTCTGCTTGCTGGCAACAGCAGTTTGGAGACCTACATAGAGCAGGGAGAATTAATAAAACACATATTTATTTTTTAGGTTCTCCCAGCTCGTTTTGTTTAGGTTTGTTTTCTTGCCGGAGCAGCCAAGGCTGGGAGCTCTTGTCAGGCTCCTTCGGAAAATCATCTCTGGATCCTTCTGTGGTCAGCATGAGGAGGGTTGTCTCCAAGTCTAGGGATTCTCTTCTGCCCTGGCAATCTCCAGGAGTTTATTTTTTATTTTTGCAGCAGATTTTTAACAGCATCCAGAGCCTGGTAGTGGCACAGAGCGGTGCTGGTGGGGGCAGCTCAAAACCTGGCAGCAGATTTGGGAGCCCAGCAGATTTGGGGTCTCAGCAGATTTGGGGCTCAGCAGAGCCCTCTGTGTATAGGAGAAAGGCCAGGCCCTGGGCTGTGAGGCAGTTTCCCATTTGCAAGGCAGAGGAGGGCAGGGATGCTCCATGCAGGAATTCCCAGCACCAAGGAGGGAGAGAGCTGCCCCTTTCCACCAGCACAGGGCATGAACCCAACACTGACTCCATTGCTGGCTGTCCTCAGGACTGAGGCACTGCAAATATCCCATCTCCATCTCCATCCCCATCTCCATCTCCATCTCCATCTCCATCTCCATCTCCATCCCCTCCCATCCCATCCCATCCTATAAATCCCATCCCATCCTATAAATCCCATCCCATCCCATCCCATCCCATGGATCCCATCCCATGGATCCCATCCCATTCTCCCCGTCAATATTCCCCACCTTCTCTGTCCCTCCACATTTCAGTGCTTTTTCAGAGCTGGTGTCATGAGCAGCCCACAGGGACAGGACACAGCAGCTTCACAGGGCAGGGCTAATTGGGAGACTCGCTAGTTCTTCATTTAATATTCTATTAACAAAGTAGTTTATTAAATTAATATTCCCCCCGAAGCCCTGAATGTGTTATTTTCTGAGTTTTTCACCTCGTCTGTGGCTTGTGTCACTGCCTCTCCATTTTCTAGGGCTGTTCAAAAGGGTGCTGGTGCTTCTTCTCTTTAATTGGGTGCCTGAAATATTTCAAACAGGAGAACGATGTGAGTGTCAATTTGTAGGATGAATTTTTAGGCAGTTAATCAATTCAGCCTTAAATTCTTCGGGGATCTGCAGACATTTTCACGAATTCCTGACAGATGTTGCCATCCTAGGAGATGATGGATGATGTTACTCCAGGTCTATTGGCCGACTGGTGTCAGTTTTTGTTTGTTGAAATCTCTGGCTCCTGTTTATTTTTTGATCTGCCTGGCTTTGGAATCAAGCCCTGTGCTTCTTTGGTGTGTGCTTGTAATTCCAAGCACTTGGAAAATGCTGTGGGGAGTCAGCGCAAGAGGCAACCCCTCATTTAAGGGGAAGAACAGGGAAAAAGGGGCTGGAGTGCGATGTGACCCTCTCCAGGTCAGGGAGGAGATGACCTGGTTCATGGTGAGGGCAGAAGGATCAGTCCCCAGAGGGAAGGGAATTGCATTCATCCCTCTTTGCTTGCTGGAACTTGGACCAGATCCTGGTGTCCATGAGGGGAAGGATGAGCCAGGCCAAGCCGTGGTCACAGCTGGCCAGGGACATGGTCACAAGTAGCCAGGGCTGTGGTCACAGCAACTCTCCCCTGTACAGGGCTGGGGCTCAAATTTGAGATGCCTCACGACCACCAGAGCCATCCCATCCCATGGATCCCATCCCATCCCTTCCCATCCCATCCCATCCCATCCCATCCCATTATCCCATCCCATCCCATTATCCCATTATCCCATTATCCCATTCCAGGAAAAGGGGCTGTGGAGCTTTAAGCAAACCCTCGGGGCCCTGCAGAGGCAGCGTTGAAAGCTGCCATTAGAAGCCATTGTATTTAAATTAGAGATAATCTCGGGCACAATGCGGGGAGAGGACACTGGGTGGGACGGGGGAGAAAGCTGCAATTTCCCTGCCATTGTCACTCGGCTGTCCCTGATTGCCGGGAGCTGCTGCAAATCCCAGTGATTTACTGAGCTAGGCTGTAATTTGCGCCACGTGCGGGGGGCTGAGTGTCACCAGGCTGGCTGTCACCAGCCCCGGCAGGCTGGGATGGGCTGCAGGGACGGGGATGGGGACAGGGACAGGGACAGGGACGGGGATGGGGACAGGGACAGGGAAAGACACAGGGACAGGGATGGGGACAGGGACAGGGATAGGGACAGGGACGGGGACGGGGATGGGGACAGGGAGAGGACAGGAACAGGGACAGCGCTGTCACTGCCCTGGGTGCAGTTTTTGGGTTCCATGTGTGATATTTGCCCTCCTGCCTCCCCAGGACCGAGTCTGTGGCCGAGAAGATGCTGACCAACTGGTTTGCCTTCCTGCTCCACAGGTTCCTCAAGGTAAGGAGAGGTGGAGCAGGGACCCTGCTCTGCTGTCTCACCCTCCAAACACCCCAGCAGGGTGAAACTCTTCCATCAGGCTACAAGAGATGGAATGGCAAGGAGGGAAAGTGGAAATTTGCTCCATGCTCACAGCCTTCCCCAAGCCTCGGGTCTCCAGGAGTAATTCCCACTAAAGGAGGTTTTTACACCTCCTTGGTGTACTTGAGGGGAATTCTCACATCTTCATGCCTCAGCTTCCATGGTTTTAACTTCATTTGTGGCTTTGGAAGCACCACTGGATTTGCTCCAGGGGAGTGAACAGTGAGATGGAGATCTCAAATTCCATTTTTTTACAGCCATGTAGGTTCAGGAGGGATTTCCCCTGCCAAAGACAACACAGCCATGGAGCAGTGGAGCTCGGGCTGAGCTCTCCAGGAGCTGCTGGGCTGCACGTGTGCTCAGGGCTGGGCCAGTGGGGCTGAGCCTGTGTGGGGGGAATCCAAATGGGGCTGGGGCACAGGAGCAGAGGCAGCTTCCCCCGGTGAGCCCTGTGTCCTCCTGTGGTGCAGGAATGTGCTGGGGAGCCCCTGTTCATGCTCTACTGTGCCATCAAGCAGCAGATGGAGAAGGGCCCCATCGATGCCATCACGGGGGAGGCGCGCTACTCCCTGAGCGAGGACAAGCTCATCCGGCAGCAGATCGAGTACAAGACCCTGGTGAGTGACAAACCCGAGCTGGGCTGGCCCTGGGGCAGGATCAGGGCCCTGCCCGGGCTGTGGGTAATGCTGGGCAATGAGGACCCATGTCCCAGCCAGGTGTGGCCCCAGTTCACAGGTGTGTTAGGAAAATTCATCCACAAACATCAGAGGTTTATGTCCAAAAAGGAGACAGAGGAGTCCCTTTTGGCTTTATTCTAATAAAGGGAGAGGCCATGGGGCATTCCCCTGGGATCTCTCACATTTTTGTAGGATGCAGCCTCCTCTTTATCCCAATTTCTGGCCCCATTTCCCTTCTCTCTTTCCCCATTTCTGAGGTACTTGAGAGGTTCAGACTTCTCAGAACACCTGATACCGAAGATTCCCCTCTAATGTACAACCCTCCCTTTTAATTTTTAATTTTTATGGAATTTAGGCGTTTTTCTTCCCCTTTGTTTCTGTGATCTTTCAATGTCTAATTTCATTTATGAGCAAACCTAAATTTTATTTGTAAAACCAAATATCTTTTCCCATTTATCAGTCAGTGAAATCCTTCCCATTGTTTCTTTTAGCTCTGCTGGTTTGATCCACCAGCAGACCCACAGCTTGTTTGTAAAGACAAATCCACTATTCCTTTCAAGTGTGAGGGAATTTTATCAGGAATTTTATCTCCCTGTGCTCTGGGCAGTGCTCTCCTGCAGCCAGTGAAAATGGACATCCAGAGCTCCTCTCTCAACAATAATTGTGTAAATATCACAGATGCAATAGCAGGGATGCATTTAGGGGGCTGTGGGGTGTTTTATGGGAAGAGGCTGCTGTGATATCTCTCCTCCAGAGCATGGTGTGGTTCTCCTCCTGCAGATCCTGAACTGTGTGAACCCAGACAACGAGAACAGCCCAGAGATCCCTGTCAAGGTGCTGAACTGCGACACCATCACCCAGGTCAAGGAGAAGATCCTGGATGCTGTGTACAAAAACGTGCCCTACTCCCAGAGACCCAGAGCTGTGGACATGGACTTGGGTAGGAGCTGCCCTGCCCAGAGGGGCTGGGGGTGATCAGAGGGGCTGGGGGTGATCCTGGAGGTGATCCCTGGGGTGATCAGAGGGGCTGGGGGTGATCCCTGGGGCTGGAGGTGATCCCTGGGGTGATCCTGGAGGTGATCCCTGGGGTGATCCCTGGGGGTGATCCCTGGGGCTGGAGGTGATCCCTGGGGTGATCCCTGGGGGTGATCAGAGGAGCTGGAGGTGATCCCTGGGGGTGATCAGAGGGGCTGGGGGTGATCCCTGGGGTGATCAGAGGGGCTGGGGGTGATCCCTGGGGCTGGAGGTGATCCCTGGGGTGATCCCTGGGGTGATCCCTGGGGGTGATCCCTGGGGCTGGAGGTGATCCCTGGGGTGATCCCTGGGGTGATCCCTGGGGGTGATCCCTGGGGCAGGGGTTGATCCCTGTGGGGCTGGCACCCCCTGACCGTGGCTCTCCCCCTCCCCAGAGTGGCGGCAGGGCCGCATTGCCCGCGTGGTGCTGCAGGACGAGGACATCACCACCAAGATCGAGGGCGACTGGAAGCGCCTGAACACCCTGGTGCACTACCAGGTGAGGGAGCAGCCCCCCTGACAGCCCCAGCAGGGAGAAGAGCAGCAGGAGCCTGATCCCAGTGTCTGTGTGCCCAGGCAGACAGGGAGGGCACGTCTGTGTGACAAACCAGAAGGGTTCCATGTGCTTCAGCATTAGGGGGGGAAGCAGCCTTGACACGGAGCTCAAGGGAAGCAGCAGAGTTGAAAATTGGCTGAATTGAACCTGCCAGCCGTGGGAGGGAGGCAGAGGGAGCAGTGCAGGGGCTGAGCTGGGGATGAGGGGGCTGGGGAGGGCAGCACGGGGGGCTCAGGGCTTTGTCTGGGGTCTGGGACAGCCTGGAGTGCAGCAGGAGGGACACAAAGTCATAGGGAAGAGGAGCCAGGCAGTGAAATGCTCAGAAAGGGAGGGTGAGAAGGGCTAAGAAATTCTTGTCATCTTTATCTTCTGGATAGGGCAGAGTCTGTTGGAAAGGGCTCCTCACAGTGGGAAAGATGGGAAAAGAGGGAGCTGGGGAAGGTTTGGTTAGAGGCAATCAAAGCAGAAGATGGGAAGAGAGGCAAGGAGGGGGCTGAGGAAGGTTTGGCTGCAGGGAATCAAAGGCTTTCCCTCCCAGCCTGCCTGCAGCACAGGATAAGTGCATTAATTGGGACTGTAACCTACTCCTGTCCATCACCACCTCCCCAGAAGTGTTTAGTGTTTAATCTGGCATCTCTCCCTGTTTATCCAGCATCTCCAGTCCATCAGCCTGACTCACGCTGGGGGACTTGAATGGGAGCCAGTATTGACAGGAGCCCTGCAATCAGGGAGCCAGGCAGCAGAGTGCCATCAATATGCACCGTGCATGTTAAAAAGCACCTCCAGGGTCAACTTTTCCAAGCAGCCCCCAGGATTTAAACACAGATTACCGTGAAATGTCAGAGGAGTTGCGCAGATTAATTCCATTGTTCCTAAAAATCTGTTTTACCTGACAGTTGCAAGGGATTAACCAAGATGCGGGGAAGCAGCAAGACTTTATTATGCCTTGATCTTTAAAAGTCATCGTGAGGAAGTCACAAGTGAAAGCTGTGCTTGTCTGATGTGTGCTGGATGCTGGGGGAGGGAGCACTTTTGTTCCAGAGCCTGTGGGAAAATCTGAGCCAAAAGCTTCTTCTTAAAATAAACAAAATCCTTGCAGCACTCGGGATGCTGCAGCTCTCGCTGCCATTTGAGTGTCAGGTTTGCTCTGGAAGAAAGGAGGAGTTGGCAGCCAGACATCCAGCCAGGTAGGGACACGAGCCCCAGCTCTGCTCAGCCCAGCTGAGCTGTCTCAGGCATTAAAGAGAAGCCAAATTCTTTTCACTGCAGCAGCAGAAATCCTGTCAAGGCGAGCCTTTTGCCAAAAACCAACATATATATATATTTATATATATATATATATATATATATATATATATATATATATATATATATATATATATTTGGGGTTTTTTAAATTTTATTTTATTCTTACCAGTTTGGAGGTTTTTTTCTGTTGGAGTAGAAGTTTTTATTAGGTATCAAAAATACAGATGTTTCAGGACTGCACAGTAAATCAGGTACCTGGGTGATACCCAGCTTTAGGAGGGTGTAAAATCACTGGGGTTCCACGTGCTCTCACCGTTTAACAGGAGTGTGACACACGAGCCAGGTGTGGTTCAAGCCATTAAAATAAACGTGGATTTCCAGAGGAGCAGTGAAGATGATTTCTGGATTTCTAGGAAAGGAGTGAAAGCTGCTTTGCAAAGCCCTGCCCATTTTTTATTCAGACCTGTTTTGTCCTTATCCTGCTCTGAAGGCAGGGAGATCCCTGGGTTTGCAGGTGGTGCTGGGGGATGCTCAGCCCAGGTTCCAGGTGTGTCCCTGGGACAGGTGCTGCACCTGCAGGACCCTCCTGGTGCTCAATTCCTGCTCCTGATTCCCAAAATCCATTCCCTGCAGCTCCAGGGCTCCAAAGCACCCTCCGCCTCCTCCTCACTGTGCCCCAAGGATGGTTATTTATTTAATCCCAAGGGTTTCCCCTCCACACCTGGATGCTGGATTTTGCTGCTTTTGTTTTCTATATTAGAATCACAAAAATACAATAGCTGATCAAATGCATTTTTCATGGGAAGCCTTCACATTCAAAACCCAAATTGGAATTAAAGAGAACTGTTCACCTTTCTAATAGTTTTGAACCACTTTATGAAATTATAGAGAGAACTGTGCACCTCCCGCTTATTTCCTCATTTATAAAAATAGATGTGTAGCTTAAATAAGTGTAATTCTTTGTTAAATTCTCCAGAGCTGTTACACATGGCAGGGAATTGTATTACATTTGTGTCGTATCCTTTTGGTTTCATGGCTATTAAACTCCGTGGGAGAGTCCTGCCCCGTGTGGTTTCACTCGGGAAAAATGAAACCCTGAATTTCATATGGGATGATTTACAGTGGCTCACGCAGGGTTAACTCAGAGGCAGCAGAGCATGAATACCTGTCAGCCCCTGCCAGTCTGGAGAGGCCAGGAGACCAGGAAGCTGCTTTAAATGAAAAATTAGGAGGAGAAAGGGGAGGTTTGGGTGGAAAATGAGTCTTAGGAGGTGAAGGTGGTGCGGATGCGGAGCTGGAATCGTTGTCGCGCCCTCACTGCCCCTTGCAGACACAGCTCCATGCCCTGTGCTCCCTCCTCCCCCTCCCAGCCTTCCTTTTCCCTGTCTTTAAGGTGCTTTGTGCCCCGTGTTTCCAGCTTGCAGAATAATCAGAATATTTATAAAGTTGTGGAGCAGCCAGGCAGCCCGGAGCGCATCCCAGGGGTGCTGTGGGAGCGAACGAACGCGTGCTGCACCTGAGGCTGCTCTGCAGCTGCTGGGGCTGAGCTGACAGCAGCCATTCCACCCCAGATTTACTGACTGAGAGGGCCCTTTCTGTGCGTGTGTGTGTGGAATTTTTAGTGCCTCTCTCCCAGTTAAGCACAGCCCTGGTGGAAATGGATCCGGCCCGGGAGCACCTCGGGTTTCTCCCTGGTGAGATGGAGCTGAAGTGGCAGCTAATAACGGCCTGAGAAAATAATATCAGCACTGATCACTCCTTCCACTGGCGTAATAAATTGGATGAAGTGAGGCGGGAGCAGCGAAGGAAATTATGGAGGTGTTTGGAGTGTTTTGCTTAGGAAAATCTCACTTTTGTGCCGTGAAACACAAGTAACTATTATTTCCACTATCACCAGCAATAATAAGAACTCGGATTTCCATGAAACCTTTCATCTGGATGGGGCCCAAAGCCTTGGAGGCAGCACAGGTCGTTGTGTGCAGCTCCCCTTGGTGCTGCAGAGAGGGTACAGAGCCCTGGAGCTGCTGGGGGAGCAAAAACCTCCATTCATGGGGTCAGTGCTGAATCCATCACAAAACTCCTGGCAGATAATGCAGAGTTTAGCCCCAAAAAGCAATTCCTGCAGCAGAAGGAGGCATTTCTTTTGTGCTGAGCCTCTAAAAGTGTCTGCTGGGCCCTGGCAAGGCGTGGTGACTCTGTGCTCCCTCACTGTGCTGCACCACAGGTCACAAGTTCAAAATTAAAAGCTCCTCAGGCCCATTCCCTGGAAACCTGCAGCTCCTTAATTAAGGGGAATAAGTTAGAAAACTTCCAGTGACTACCAGATTTATAGGGAGGATAAAATTAAACATGGCTACTAAAATCTGCTGTAACAAAACCTTGTTAGTGCTAATGTTCATTTATAGTTTGACTTCCCAGTGTTTAATTCCTTCTCTGGAGCAGTAAAGGGATAACAATTAAATACCCTGAAAGATGGCTTTATGACTTGCTCCGCTGTAAATCAAACTTTTAAAGTTCGTAAAAATTGCTAAAATAAAAAATGGTTTAATAGGAATGTTTTATGGCCCATAACGTTATTACAGCCCTTTTATTCCCTCTGCATTGTTACTTTAATTGGATCACAACAATTCTTGAGATTCTCATTTTTATTGGGTAAGGCATAACCTTAAATCAGAACGACCAAAAGCATCTTCACCACATCTTTTGATTTATCCCTCATTTCCTCCAGCCTCCTGCTGTATCCTGGCCCAGCTCAGGGCTCAGGGAGCGTGTCCTGGTTTGCCTTTGCCAGGATTTGCCGGATCAGCAGCCTGGGATCACAGGGTGGGCAGGGAACCCCCCTGACTGGTCCTGTTTGCCTCCCCAGGTGTCAGACCGCTCCGTGGTGGCTCTGGTGCCCAAGCAAACCTCGTCCTACAACATCCCTGCCTCTGCCAGCATCTCCCGCACCTCCATCAGCAGATACGGTGAGAAACGGGATGGGAGGGACACACACTGGGGTGTAGGTGGGGAAAAAACAGCAAAAAACCACCCAAAACAAGTGTAAATCCAAACAGAAAAACATCCGTGGCTGCGGGTTTGGATTGCAAAGGCTTTTCCAGCTGTGAGAACAGCAAAAGGAGCAGGAAAGGTGAGAGGGGGGAAAAGGAAATGCCAAGCACAGGAGCAGCCTTGGGGAATGTGGGGTTTGGGGAAGGTCCAGGGGCTCAGAGGGGATGGGTGATGCAGGAGAGGATCTTTGAGCCCCTGAGCAGCACCACAGATAAACCTGATTTATCTGATCCTCCCCCTGCTCGTCCCCAAGTGCAGGATCCTGAGCTCGGAGCTAATGGGTCACAAATGGGGAAGGGCAATCTTAGCGCAGAGTGCAGGGATGTGCACACCTGGGAATTCCTGATTTGCATAATAGAAGGGCTCAGCACATTCCAGAGGGTCCCTGAAGATGCTGCAGCCTGAGAAAATGAGCCTGCAAGGTGCCAGGTGCACGCTTGGAACACTAAATCCACAATAATTGTAATAATAGACTTCCATAAAAGGCAGCAGTGGCAAAATCTCCCGAGTGCTGATCTTTCATTATCGTTCATTTCGCAGAGTGTTTTACCAGCAAAAGTCTCCTGACAAACCCATCTCCTCCTCTTGTTTATAGCTCCCAAAATAATGTTGGTTTTTAGCTTGAGTGAGTGTTCTGAGGAGTCAAAACCAGGGGAGTCTTGAGGTAAAAACCTGGAGAAAAGGCATTTCTCCCTGCCAGACCCACACATCCCACAGTGCAGGTGATGGGAGAACCAAGGCTGGGTCTCACAGCCTGAGCCCTCAGTGCTCATTGATCTCTGTCAGCTGGAAAAGCTTTTGCAAAGCACCAATACGAGCCATCATTGCTCATGTTAAGATTAATATTTCTAATTGTGCCGGCAGAATTTAAATTAGATACTTATTTACTTCCCCTGTCATATATCAGTACAGAGATATGTTTAAAAATAGAATTACTGCATGCTTCCTGAGCTGTCCCCCTGTCTGTCTCCTTAATTATATCAGTTGGAGCACTCATTTATCTAAGCCTTAATCAGGGATGAAAATCCAGCTACTTTGGTAATGACTTGAGTATTTCCCTCAGCTGATTTACGATCGATCCCTGCACTCCTGATGAGGAGGGGGAGCAGTGAATTGAAGGCTAAACTTGAGAAAATGCACAAGATTCCCAGAGAACAAAGAAATGTTCTTTGAGGAGGAAAAATCCAGCAGGGCACATTTGGCTCCTCAGCCTCGTGTCTCATCCTGGAGATGCTGGGGATGCAGGGAGGGACATTCTTTGGGAAGGGAAATATATCAATAAATGTGCCACATGCCCCCATGGTTTCTGAGCAATTCAGGGAAAGTTCCCTGGTGCCCTTTGAGCTCCCTTTTCCCTTTTCAGGGACAGCCCAGGGGTGGCACAGGGGGCAGGACTGGCCTCAGGCTCTGCTGTTGATGCTCAGCTTGAGTCCTCACTGCTGTCCTGAAAGCCTCAAGGACAAGCTCAGCAGCTTCTCCTGCCCTTTGTGCTGGCTGTGCTGGGCAGCTTCTCATTATTTACAAAATCCTGAAATTGGAGCTCTGCTTCTGCAGGAGTCGGTGACCGGGGTCGTGTGTGTGAGCTGTGACTCAGGGAGGATTTTTGTGTGGATCTGTATGAGGAGTTCACATCAGGAAAGGATGTGAATGGGGCAGGAAAGGCCATATATGGGAGGGAAAAAAAGCCTCAATTCTGAGGTTTTTTGTTGAACGGAGACCACCACAGATTTTTGCCAAACACCAAATTCTGACGGCGCAGAACGAGAACGCGTGCAAAACAAAACCGCGGTGGTTTTCCATTTCATTTCCCCACCAAAAAAAAAAAACCCCAGTGCCAACAATTTGGGTGTTACCATCCCTGTTGAGGGCACTGAGGAGGTGCAGAAGGTGTGACCAGCCTCTCTCCCCGGCTCAGACTCCACGTTCCGCTACACGGGCAGCCCCGACAGCCTCCGCTCGCGCGCGCCCATGATCACGCCCGACCTGGAGAGCGGCGTCAAGGTCTGGCACCTGGTCAAGAACCACGACCACGGCGACCAGAAGGAAGGGGACAGGGGCAGCAAGATGGTGTCTGAGATCTACCTGACCAGGCTGCTGGCCACAAAGGTAACTGGGCTGGATCCACCCGGGGATTGCATGGTGCTGCTCAGCTCCCACCTGGCTGGGTTCTCCTGGGATTGGGAAACTCCTGGAGCAGCAACAGAAGCACAGCCCAAATTTCCTCATTCCACAAATTTCCACATTCAAGCCAATTGCTGCAATTCTCAATTTTTTTTTTTTTTGCATAGTGTTAAAAGTGCTCACCAATTCACAAATTGGTGAATGAAGCAGTGCCTGGAAATATTTACCCACTCCCTCAACCAGATATGATTTTCCTGCCTCTCCCCTTGTGCTCATTGGTGTGGATAACACAGCTGTGCTCTGGAAAGCAAAAAAAAATTATTTCAGGTTAGAAATAAAGAGTAAAGGAGTGAGTAGCTGCAGGCTGAAGCTTTTTGAAAGACCCTGACCTTGGTTATTCCCATGGGATCTGTGGTGGCACTTTTTGGGGCTGGTAACATCTGGTGTCCCTTCCTGCCGCCACTGCTTGGCCTGGGGAGTGCCTGTCCCTCCCCTCACCCCCTGGATTGCTGCTTCTGTCACCAAAACTGCAGGAAATACAGAAACTCTCCAACAGCATCTTTTCAATATTAGAGAATTGGGGATTACTTTATTCTAGCCAGGATGTGCAATAGAAATTATTTCATCCACACGTGCCTGGGTTGTGCAGTGAAAATCATTCCATCACACATGGGTTTTACCCCATTTTTCACATATTTGTACATAAAACCTCCAAGGAAATTCACATTCACTGCTTCTAAATTACACAATTCTCAGCACTTGATCTCCTATTGGTTATTGATCCTCTCAGTGCTAATTTGGTCCTCGTGCTTTGGTTCTCTTATCAATCATTTCCAAGACCAGGTGTCTGTGACCACACCGGGGGTGATGTTTGTCTATGTTCATTTATCCCCTCTGTATCTTCTGGCTCTGGGAATCTCCTTTTTGTTGACTGAAGCCCACAAGCCGGAAATTCTGTGAAACAAAACCTTTCCAAGAGAAAACCTCAATTCCCCCCACCCTGCGGGGAAGCGAACAAACCCCTGAATAAAATTACATTACAAAAAAAAAGCTGGAATCTGTCTGATCTGCCCTCCTGCCACCAGGGCACGCTGCAGAAGTTCGTGGATGACCTGTTTGAGACGCTGTTCAGCACGGTGCACCGGGGCAGTGCCCTGCCCCTGGCCATCAAGTACATGTTTGACTTCCTGGACGAGCAGGCGGACAAGCACGGCATCCACGACACCGACGTCCGGCACACCTGGAAGAGCAACTGGTAACGGGGGAAAGGGGGCAAACCTGGGGGATTCTGGGCAAAAAATGGTGTGGGGGATGGTTTTGGGATGGGCTGGGAATGGCCAAGCCCCAAAGCAGGACACAAAGCTGTGCTGCTCATGGGGTGAGAGCCTTGGTGGGCTGCCAGTGTTCACAGGATGCTAAAATCCTGAAATATCCTGATTTAGAAGGAAGAGAGACAGCCTGGCTATCTCTCTGCCCAAGGTGGGAGCTGGACACTGCCCTCAGTGTAGATCTGCACATCTGACTTTGGAAAGAGTGGAAACCAAGGTTCCAGTGCCTGCCCTGTGCTGCCTGCACAGCCCTGCTGTGCCACAAACGCCAGCACTGGCTGGGAGAGGGAGCTCAGCCAGTGGCTGCACCTTTCCCATCACTTTGGGAAGCACCTGGAGCATTTGGGCATCAGCAGGAGGTTGCACAGGGAGAAGGAGCCAGCTCTGCATGCCCCAGGCATGGGCTGCAGCCAGGTCCAGCCTCTGCAACCACATCTCTGCCTCTGCTGCTATTTTAGGATTAAAACCTCTGTGGGTTGGAAATTTACCTCTGCAAGAAAAGAATAAAAAAGCACAACAAATGGTTGTTCCCTGAAGACCTTGCGTTTTCCCCCGAGTCCCTCGTGGTTTAAAAGGCCTGTAATCATCATGGCTGCAAAAACTGCTTCCCTGCTAAGGCAGTGGGAAGCTCAAAACGATTAACTTAAAGCCTTAGAAGGAGTTATTGGGATAAAAACTGTAGAACCACAAGAAATTACGAGAAAAAAAGAAAGCAATGACCACCAGAGTTTGGTCTGCCAGAGCCAACAGGCCCCACCAGGCCTGGACCTTCCTTCTCCCCATCTCAGCTGAGCTGCAGCATTTCCAGAAAGGGAATTTTTGTGGCAATGTGGGAGAAGGCTGCCCCTGGAGCAGGTCCAAGCAAATGGAAGTTTGGAAGAGGGAGCTGGGGTGGCTGGGGCTGGGGCTGAGCTGCTCTCCTGCAGCACTGCAAGAGTTAAGGCTGCAGCCTTCAGCGAGCTGGAGAGACAGAGAGAGCTGCGACTTGAAAGGTAATAGAAAGCAGCAGCTGCTTTTTTGATCCTGCTATACAGCCAGAGAAAAAAAGGAATAATAATTCCCCTTTGATTGCAAAGGCCCCGGGATTTGGGGACAAATCCTGTGGTTCCTGCTGCCAGCTCACGGGTCCTGGAGAGCGGCTGGGCAGAGCTGATCAGTGCCAGGGCTCACCCCACACTGACCCTGCTCTGGGGAGCTCCTCCTGATGGGCTCCCCCTGCAGATGCCACCCCAGTACCCCCAAAGTGCCCAGCCCTGCCCTGCCCCTCATCTCCTCCATTGCTCCATGTGGGATCTGTGCCTGGAACAGCACATGGGCATGGCAGGATCCACCAGCAGCAACTGGTGCTTGATAGCCTGGGCCCAGCTCCTGTTTAAATTCTTCTCTTATTCTCCGCACCACTCGTGTTCTGCCTGGGAGCACCATCCACAGCACGAGCCCTTTCCTTTTGTCTTTCATTTCATTCCAATTCTCCCTTTGCCTCCCAGCCTTCCCCTGCGCTTCTGGGTGAACGTGATCAAAAACCCTCAGTTCGTGTTCGACATCCACAAGGGCAGCATCACGGACGCCTGCCTGTCCGTGGTGGCTCAGACCTTCATGGATTCCTGCTCCACCTCCGAGCACCGCCTGGGCAAGGACTCCCCCTCCAACAAGCTGCTGTACGCCAAGGACATCCCCAGCTACAAGAGCTGGGTGGAGAGGTGAGGGCAGCACATGGCACTGGGGGTGCTCTGAAACCCCATGGATCTCAGGGCAGAACATCCTGTGGGTGCAGGGTGCTCTGAAACCCCATGGATCTCAGGGCAGAGCATCCCCAGTGGAAGGGAAGCACAAGTGTGACCGTGTGCACAGGGGTCCGAGGATGAGGGAAGAGACGAGGATCTAACTCCATGTTTCAGAAGGCTTGATTTATTATTTTATGATATATATTACATTAAAGCGATACTAAAAGAATAGAAGAAAGGTTTCATCAGAAGGCTAGCTAAGAATGGAAAAGAAAGAATAATAACAAAGGCTTGTGGCTCGGACTCTGTCTGAATCAACTCACTGTGATTGGCCATTAATTAGAAACAACCACACGAGGCCAATCAGAGATGCACCTGTTGCATTCCACAGCAGCAAATAATCATTGTTTACATTTTGTTCCTGAGGCCTCTCAGCTTCTCAGGAGGAAAGATCCTAAGGAAAGGATTTTCATAAAAGATGTCTGTGACACACAAGGACCAGCAGTGGTTCTCAGCGCCACCAAGCACCGCTGCTCCTGTTTTCAGCTCATTACAGCCCAAAATCCCGTTTTGCTGGATGCAAACACAAAACAAAAATATGTTCTTATCCCTGCAGAGCTTAGCTTAAATCCCAGGGGGAACGGAGCCATTTGGGGCATTCCTGTTTCTCATTTTCCCCCTCACTCCTGCAGGTATTACGCCGACATTGCCAAGCTCCCGGCCATCAGTGACCAGGACATGAACGCCTACCTCGCCGAGCAGTCGCGCCTGCACGCCGTGGAGTTCAACATGCTGAGCGCCCTCAACGAGATCTACTCCTATGTCAGCAAGTACAGCGAGGAGGTGGGTGTGGGCAGCAGTGTCCCCTGGGCCGTGGTGATGTCCCCTGGAGTGATGGCATCCCCTGGGCAGCAGCGTTCCCTGGGCCACAGTGGTGTCCCCTGGGGCAATGATGTGCTCTAGGCAGCAGTGTCCCCTGGGCCATGGTGTCCCCAGGGCAACAGGGCCCCATGGCAGGTGTGTGGGAGAGCAGAAGCAGTGCTGGGCTGGGTAGGGATCCCTCTGCTGCCTCCCAGAGCTCCTTGCCCTCCCTTCCCTGGATTCAGCCCGGCCGTAGCTGGCGCCGCTCCTGCCCCGCTGTTCTCTTTACGCACAGAGGGGTTTGGGCTTGGCCACACTTGTAGCATCCTCCCCAGGAGGATTGAGAGCTGAAATATTGCGGGAGCACCTGGATACCTCTGCTCTGGCATGCGCCCAGTGAAGTGGAAAATATTCATGACCCATCAAAGCTCCCCAGAAACCTCGGTGTCCTTTGGGAGCAGCACGGTCCAAATCCCCGTTGTAGTGGCACAGGCTCCTGTTTGCAAAGGCTTCCTGGCAGCCTGAGCTCCTTTAATGAATGCATCACTTGAAACCAAGTTCTCGCCATCTGTTCCACCCCTTCATTTCTCTGCAAGAAGAACCGATTTTGTAATTATGTCCGTGAAACGGAAGGGTTTTGTCATTGAACTGCATGTAGCCATTTGTGATACAACGCCACGGCTATTTTCTCATTAGGCTTGAAAAATCTCATCACTTTCCTGCTAAACGAGACAAGAAACGTGGACTCCAAGGCACCAGAAATGTGGAGTCCAAGGCACCAGAATGTTTTTTGTTGGGTGGGTATGGAGGGGTCCAACAAACCAAGGACAGCCAAGATGCTTTGCTGTTTATTGGGATTTCACAGCTCCTCACATGGAGTTGCTCACACTCACTGCCCACCCACCTCTCCCACCCCCTCTCTCACGCTGATTTCTCTCTCTGATTCATTTTTTTCCCCTTTTTCCGTTCTCCCCCCCAGCTCATCGGAGCTCTGGAGCAGGACGAGCAGGCTCGGAGGCAGCGCTTGGCTTACAAAGTAGAGCAACTCATTGGGGCCATGTCCTTCGAGAGCTGAGGAAAGGTCACGGGCAGCAAAGGGCAGAGCATCGCACGGACTCTCGGGAATTCGGAGGGAGAACAAGCAAGGAAGGCACTGGACACACCCCCCAAGGCTCTTCTGGAGAGAGCAGGGCCTGGCTCAAGGACTGGCTGTGTTCAAAAATCATACAGGATCCGGTTTGGAAGGGCAGGAAGGGAAGATGAAGCATCTCCATCACAGTCCAAGCAAGGTGGATCATTTTTTCGAGTGTACGCGCAAAGAAGGAACCTGGAAAGTCTGGATGTCTCCACGACTGCTGCTTTGCATGAAAATTGTTTAATGTATATTGGAAAATAAAACTTTATTTAAAGGTTTTTTTAAAAAAAAAACAAAAACAAGGGAAGAAAAAGAAAAAAAAATAGAGCAAAAACCACAGAGGCCATAGAGAGATAATCCTGGCAAGGAGGATCAGCTCTGAATCCTGTCCCTGAGAGCCTTCCAAGGACACGGCTCAGGCATTCTGCAAACGGACTGTCACACAATTGGAACGTCTGGAAAACCAAAATGTCTTCGTTTGGGATTCTTGCAACACATAGGAGCACAAGTTTGCACCACACCTTCTTACACAAGCGAAATAGCAGTTTTGCCCGAAAATAGTCCAGTGGCTGAGTAACTTAGAGGCACTAGAAGGAACTTTACCTGAATTGCAAAACCACCACATCATCTGACCTGTGTTGAAATCCAGCTTTATCCATGTATTTATATCGTGTCAATGCATCTATTTTTTTTTAAATCCCATTTACTGTTGAATGAGGGAAGATCTGAGTTTCATTGCTTTTCCCTTTTCCACCTGCATCCCACCTCACTGGCTGATCCAGCAGTGTCCAGCAGTGTCCAGCTTGGCCATGGTTATCCAACAGTGACCAACACTGATCCATTCAGTGTCCACTGCTGGTTCCTGCAGGTGCCACGTGAGCCAAGGCAGAGCTGGGCTGACACCTCCAGGTCGGTTTTGGGGGTCTCCAGCATCCAGCTCCGATTTCTCACAGCAACACCCCCCAAACCCTGATGTTTACGGTGACAATACTTGAAGAGCCTGGATGCTGGGAGAGCAGATTTTGTTGATTTTCTGCTGGACGTGCAGTCCTTGGGCAGCACGTCTCCCTTTGGGTGTCTCCTCCAGCGTTTGCCGCCTCACCCAGGGCCAGGACTTACATTTCCACTGGTAAAGGGAGAGAAATCTCTGCTCCAGGCAAGAGCAAACCTTAACCAGCACCCCAGGCCAGCCAGCTCTGCTGTCGTGTCTCTGTGTCGGCGTCTCGTTGTTCTCCTCAGTTCCTTGCTGGCCCCCACGGCACACGCTCCTGTGGCCAGGGACAGGCAAATGTTTGTGAGTGTTATTTCTTTCAAAGACACCAAAGCTTATGTGTGTCCCTTTGTGGAGTGCCAGGAGGGGAAGGAGTGCTGTAAATATTTCTCTCTGTAGTAAATATTGATGCGTGTGCAGGCTGCAGTGGGGAGGGCAGGGAGAGGAGGCCTGATGGAAATACAAGAGTTGGCTGCAGGAGCTTGGCAATGGCAGCAAAATAATCCCTGGTGTCTGCCCAGGCAGTGTCACACTGACTGGATCATCCTTTGCAGCCAGTGTGTGTTGAAGGAAAATCCATTTCCACCTCCATCCCCCTCCTGCAGCATTCCTGCCTGGAGGAGCCCAGCTGGCCCTCTGCGTCCTGCAGTCCAGCACCAGGGGAGGGGAGAAGCACGTAGAGAAATACTCAGGAAACTTGGTTTAATTACCATTCAGTAAAAGCCATGCCAAGTCCACTTTCTTTTGGTAATCCACTTCTGTGAGTCTCTCTGAAAAGCAGAAAATACTGATGATAATAATCAGCCTCGTGCAATAAGTTCTTGACATTTACAGCGGCCTGAGCGCTGGATTTACTGAGACAGGGGGAGAGTGGCAGAAACAGAGACTGAAGGGCAGAGCAGTGTTTGTGCTGCCTGTTATCCGAGAGTTCCCTTCCCAGGGATCCTGCTCCTGCACGGTGAATCTCATTTCTGAGGCAAAAAATGTGCAAAAGTCCTACTAAAAGTCAGGCACTGCAGAGCCCAGGAATGTCATTGGGGCAGTCCCCAGCCTGGCCTGCTCTTGGCTGCAGGTACCCAGGGCATGGCAGAGGGGCAGGCTTTGGAGTCCTGTAGGTTTTTTGCTGGTTCTGTTCCTGCTGTTCCCAGTGATCCATCACACAGCTTAGCTGAGGGATTGCCGGGTCTGTCCTAGCTGTGGTTGTTGGCTTGGGTTCTCCAGGTTCTCACGGTACTCTGAAACCCAAAGAGAGCACTCCAAAAAGCTCCTGAAGGACTTCCAAACGCTTCCAAATACCGGTCTGGGGAGTTACCTCTGCAGGACTCACAAAATAGGAGTACAGCCCAAAGCAAAGGCCTGGCTGTGCATCACCTGGGCCTGCTGACAGTGTCCCTGCTCCTCTCTGCATCTCTTTGAGAGGTGTTTGTGTAGCTTTTCATCCTCCTGCTCCCCTCCTCCTGCTCCCTCCCCTCTGGCCAGGAGCACCCCCCAAGCCAAGGCTTTGTCATTCCCCCTGCCCTGTATTTTCTCAGCAGAAATGGAGGTCCCCACACACCCCCTGGATTCCCTGGGAGGACATTAAGGAGACAAGGGGACAACTGAGTTCATCTTCTGTGCTGTGGGACGATTTGAGCAGAGAGAAGGAAAAAGGGGAAGCAGCAGGAGCACTTTGCAAACCAGTAAGCTCTTACACTTCTGACTGAATCCCAAAGGAAACAGCAAAAACTCCTCTTCCATCACCTGGAAAAGCTTTGGGAGGACGGCAGAGGGAACAGCTCAGTCCTGGCTGGAGGGGTGGCCTACAAATACATTGCCAAGAATCTTCTCATGGTGGTTGACATTAATTATGGATCTTTACAGGCAATTATATGGATTGAAGCAACATATCCCCCTGGGGCAGAGCGCTGGGAATCTCTTGCCCTGTTTGCATCCAACATTTCCTTTCCTCCTTCGGGAGGAGGAAGCTTCAGATCTCAGAAATGGCATTTTCTTCGCACCGGCAGCAAACTGGACTCGAGGGTTGGTCAGGAGGGGGCACTTGCCTTAGATGAAACGATTTCACGTCCCTCTCATTGCCCCCCTCCTCCTGCAAGGCTGCCTGGAGTTTGGAGTCTCCAGCTCGCTGCGTTTCAGGTATTCCAACATCAAAGTGGGAGACGTCACTTGCCGGGATCTCTCTGCCTGGTGTCACCGCTTGAATAATTCCCTTTCATCTTCTGCTCACGAGCTATCAAAGCACCCACTCCGAGGGGGAGCGAGGTGCTAATCAAACGCTTCTCCACCTTGAAAGCCTTTATCAAACCCCACACAGCAGAGGGGAGCTCGCAGGCACGGCTGGCCCTGCCTGAGCCCCGCCAGGAGCCACAGCCAACAAAGCTCAGAGGGTGCGGGCAGCGAGGGGTCCACGCTTTGCCATAAAGGATGGGTTTGAAGGGAGGCAAGAGGGATCAGCACGGCTGGAAACCCTGGGAAATCCAGCATGGATATCCCTGGAAACCCTGGTTATGCTGCCTGCAGCAGTGAGCACCCACCCTGTGAAATCCAGAACCCTGGAAATCCTGGATACCCTGTGTGCAGCAGTGAGGATCCACCATGTGAAGTCCAACATGGATATCCCTGGATACCCTGGTTATGCTGCCTGCAGCAGTGAGCACCCACCATGTGAAATCCAGCGTGGATATCCCTGGAAACTCTGGATACCCTGTGTGCAGCAGTGAGGACCCACCCTGTGAAATCCAGAACCCTGGAAATCCTGGATATCCTGTCTGCAGCAATGGGGACCCACCATGTGAAATTCACCATGGATACCCTGTGTGCAGCAGTGAGGACCCAGCACTGAGGAACAAAACTGCTGCCACGGCCTGGCTGCATCCCAGCAGCATCCCAGGTGTGGAATTTCAGGTTTTTCCCTGAAGGACGGACGTGGGGACAGCGGTGCCTCCCCAGGGCTGGGGCTGTGACACGCTGGGGACAATGAGTGCAGTGCCAACCTTCATCACAGCAGTGCCTTCCACACTCTGTCTTAAAATCCTGGTGGCCCATCCCCACGTCAGTGTTCCCTCCCACCTTCCACTGGACTCCACAAAAAATGTCCCAACGCAGGAACCAGTTTGGGTGGGCACGTGGAGGGCAAAGGCGAGAGGGTTTGGGGCTCTGGGGTTGCATTCTGCACGCTGCTGGCTCCGAGCTCCTTGTGGGGATCTTGGTGTTTAAATCTGTGTGGAAAAAGGATCAGAGCATCCCCTCCTGCAGTGGGCACAGCCTGCAAATAAGGTCTCATTCCCAGAGGTCCCCAGGAGCCAGCAGGGTTGGGGAAGGCCAGGCTGGCACAGGGCAGAGCAGCTCCCAGCACGGCCCCTGTGCTGCTCCAGAGCCTCCAGCCCCTTCCCTGGCAGCAGCCCAGCCACGTTCTCCTGTCACTGGCTGCTCTCCATCCAGCTTCCTGTGCTGTCAGAGCTCACCTGTCACAGGGACTCAGCTCCCCAAACTAAATGAAACTAAAAGAGACTGACTTGAATAAGCTGGGCCATCAGGGAGAGCTCACGAGTGACTGTGCCCTGGAGAGAAGAGAAAATGTTCCGAGGAGGGGAAATAACTGACATCAAAGATGCATTGAAATGCCACAGAGCTTCAGCCATCCTATTCCAGATCCACATTTGTACCAGGAATTGCAAGGCAATAGTGCAGGATCTGTGACATTGTGCAGAGTTGTGTGTGAGGAGAAGCTCAGAGCACAGCCCTGTCCTTGGTGCAAACACCCAGCCTGGACCCAAAACCAGAGACCAGCGGGTCAGAGGCTGAGGGCAAAGCTCTGGGGCCAGCTCTGAGGCCACCTGCACGGGCAGGATGGTTTTACTGATGAGACATTCAGTGGGGAAACAATCAGAGTAAGAGATGTGTGCGCTGCAAAGGGGCTGGTGGGGATCTGCTGAGCTGAGCAACCCCAAATGTGCAGTTTCGGTGCACTGTGGTCAGGTTAGTATTGCAGGGGAAGAGGATGGGAGGTTTTGGCTGTCTGGAAGGCTTTGTGAAAGCCCCTTCACCCTGAAAAGCCCCAGATGTGGGTGCTGGTCCTGTTCTGGGCAGGCAATGGAACAGCAGCCAGAGCCCCAGCTGTGGGTGTGCCTGGTGCCTTCCTGGCTCCTGGAAGAAAACTGGGGCTCTGTGGTGTGTGCCCTGCGCCCCAGGGTGCTCTTTGGAGTGCTGGGGTCGGAGAAGGGGAGGTGGAAGGGTGGGGAAGGGTGGGATGGCAGAGCCCCCCTGCTCCATGCTGGAAAAGCCACTCTGTCCCTGCAGGGCGTCTGAGGTGGC